TATAATCAATATTATTTGAGGGCAAATTTTAATTCAAGATGTATTTAGTAAACTCAACTCATTTTAAGCCCAATCAATTGGGCTCTAACTGAGCATGACCCAAATACCCAAACCCATACCAGTTTACTAAACACAAGTAATACGAAATGTTTTATTTAATTAAAAGTGAAAGTTGTTCCTTCAAAAGGTCATAATTATTTTATTATTTCAATACAAAATGAATATTATTTATTTAACCCAATTTTTAATAAAAGAGAAACTATTTTTTTCTCGTAAAATATCATATGAACATACTATTTAAATAAATATTTAAATCAATATATTATTTTAAATCAATTTCAAATCACAATCAATACTAAATATCTTTGTATTTTTGGTTTTAAGATTCATTTTAAATGCATACTCTCACCCTTTACTTGACATCACACATAAAAAAAAAATATATTATTTCTATTATAAATTATACCTTTTCTATTTCACTCTAATATATATATATATTTAATAGTAAATTAGAGAATAATACTCCCTCTATTCCATTTAAATTATCCATTTTAAATTAGACACAGCGTTTTAAGTATTAAATAATTAGTAAATAATTAAAAAATATGTTAGTAAAAATAATTATATATTAAAATTAAGATTACTAAATAATTTAAATAAAATAATAAATTATAAATTATGGATTTTAAAATGTAATTAAAATATATAATTATATTTCTAAAAAAAGTAATAATAATTTATGTGGGACAAATGAAAATAAAAAGAGTGAACAAATTAAATATGACGAATGAAAGTACTCTCTCTATCTAGTAAAGTATATCCATTTGGTTGGACACATGAACTAAAAAATAATAGTATTATAATATTAAAGTGAAATAAGTAAAAAATAAAATGTAGGTATTATAAAAATATTATTAAGTGATTAATAAAAAAAATGTAGTATAGTAAGTAAAAAAATAGTGACAAATTGGTTATTATTTATTCTCTCTGTCATTAAAATGTATTCTCATTTGACCGGCACGTATTTTAAAAAAAAAGTAAAAATAAAAATATTTTCTTTTTTGAATAAAGAAAAGGTAAAAAAATATCATTTTTTTTTATTAAAACGAAAATAAATTTAAATAACAATAAAAAAGGAAAAATAAAAATAAATTTGAATGAAATATAAAATATTAAAATAAAAGTAATAAAATTGTAAACTGATAAAATTATTTACTGTGCATAAATCTAGCTTACAGCTAAATAATAAATAGTAACATAATTTTGGTGGTAGGAGAGACTTAGTATTTTATTATTTAATGGGAATGTGTAAAATAATTTCGATATTTTCTATTTTCGTACTTTATATATAAATTAATTGTATATATATAATAATATATGTATAATTTTTATATAAATATTAAAAATATTTTGATATTCGAGTAATTACTTTTCATATGTTAAAAAATAAATAATTTTAAATAACTAAAAATATCATATAGACCTTGTTAAAATATATTTAGAAGTAATATATTATATTTATGGCAGTTATCTTATTTAAGAGGTTTATAAGATTCTTGTCTTATTTAGACGATTTGTATATCATTATAAATATGTACGTATTCTTATTATTGAAATAGAGAATTTCAGTTTCATATTCTAATATGGTATTAGAGCCAGATTCTCTCCGGGTACCTCCGTGTTATATCTCGTATATACTTTTATATTTTATTGATGTATTTTCTTCTATCCACGGTCATGTTGTTATTTTCATTTCGTCTTTGTTTCTACTACTCCACTGAGAGAGTCACTCTAACCCTGCTGAGAGTTCTATTTTTTCACAAGCAAACACAACATAGATCAATCCAAACAATATAAAAGTGCAAATGTACGTTTCAATGTGATTTGGAAAGGATTTTTTAATTCAAGATAAAAATTATTTGCGCTCTATTTAGGCCTGTTTGGATAGGCTTATTTGGAAAATACTTTGACTTTATGTTAAAAAAATAAATATTTATTTCTATTTATTTTGACTCTTGATGAAAAAAAATCATCAATGTTGTGATATTAATAAAAAGAAATAAATAAATAAGGGTTGAGTTTTATCATTGAGTTTTGGTTTTGTCAATACTCCGTCCCAATACAATAGTCTTGTTTAGTATTTTTGTTCGTACTAAAACAATAGTCTTATTTTCATAAATAATCATATCATCATAAAATTATCCATATTTTTTTATTTTTATTACGCAATTACCACTATTTTTTACACTAATGTACTCATAAAGAGAAAAAATCTTTTATCCATACTTTTTATCCACTACCAATATAATATTAATATTCCTTAAATCACATGCTCTACATTAAATAGTAAGAAATCTATAACTATATTGACGTAGCTTTAGAAAAAAAATAATAATAATATTCTAAACATATTTTTTAAAATTTTTTAATCATATATATTAATTCATATTTTTAAAATACGAACGCCACTATTTATATAAAAATAAAATAAAATAATATTATAATTTATTACTAATAATTTATTAATCTATATTATTTAAATAACGATTGTAAATAATTACACAATGTTATTCTCAAATGTGAAGGCTTGCTTTATTACCATCGACATCATATTTATTTATTTATTTATTTATTTATTTATTCGTGAGATCCTATCCTATCATTGTTTTATGTAAGATATATTCAAAATTCTTTTCGGGCAGATGTGGCTTGATATTGTATTAAAAGAAAAATCGGAATTTCATTACAAAATCAATTGGTGATATAATGAATTATCTAGTACATTTATTGTTGGTTCACTCTCGTTTGTTGATAAATAAATAAATTATGCATATCTTAACAGCTTAAATTTTTAGGTGAATCGGTCATTTATATCGTCTACCATAAAAAAATTGAGCATTCGATCTCGAATTCGAATCATTCAACCCTATAGTCGCATCATAGTTGGTTTCATATCTTAAATTTCATTGTTTTTTGAAAAAAAAATAAAAAATTATATACTAATCATATTTTTAATTTTTAAATTTATAATTTTTTAAATATTTAGTTGTATTATTTAATTATCTTAATTTTAATTTATAATTATACTAATTATTTTAATTTAAAAATTTCATATCGACCATGTATATGACATAATATCGGAAATAAAGAGAATACTTATATATAATTATATAAGAAGGGGTTACGTAGAGCTGTTAAACAAACCGAGTCGTTCGTAAACTCGGCTCGGTTAAAGCTCGTGCGCTAATGTTAACGAATCGAGCCGAACAACATAAACAAGCTCGTTTGATTAATGAACGAGCCCGAACTTTGTTCCCGAGCATTCGTTTAAATAATATATTTATTATATACATATAAAATTATAATTTATAAATAAATAAAATATTAATTTAAAATATATAAATAAAATAATTTAAAGTTTTCTTTATAATTTATATATAAATTTTAAAAAATAAGACAAACAAGTTCGAATGAACTCGAACGAGCTTAATCGAGCCTAAACGAGCCGAACACGAATACGAACTTAAACAACAAAAATTCTTAACAATCCGAGTTCGAACACTACGAACGAGCTCGAAAGCTTAACGAACGAACACGAGTTTTGTTCGCGAACGTTAACGAAAACTTAAAATTTGGTTCGGCTCGAATCGTTAACAACTCTAGGGTTACAGTATTGATTTGAAGAAATAAGCACATTGTCAATTTTCTCAATCAACACCGATAAAAGATACAATATGTGTTATATGAAATAGAGATATATATCATTTATACTTATAACCTTTTTTGTATAAACATATACTCTCTCCGTCCCAAAACTATAGTCTTATTTGAGTTTGACACGGGATTTAAAGAATATTGATATTATATTGATAGTTGGTAAAAAATATGAATAAAAAACTTTTTTGTCCTGTGAGTGTATTAGTATAGAAAGTAATATAATTTGTGCAGTAATAATGAAAAAATAAGGATAATTTTGCGGTGATATGAATATTTATGAAAATGAAACTATTATTTTAGAACGGACAAAAATAGTAAATAAGACTATTGTATTGAGAGTGAGGGAATATTATTATATGCTTAATTATATATGAGTTTATATTACATTAATACCTATATATATTTATATTGACTATATACATATCGACCTATTTAGGGGTTATTGTCAAGATTACATATTGAGGTAATATTAATTTTAAAAAAAATTATATTTTAGTCTCATAACTACTTTTTTGTGTTTTCAAAATATTGAACGTAATCTCTTAGCTATTTATACATAATGAATATTGATATGTTATTTTTTAAAATATTTAATTTTGTTCATTTTCGTTTGAAATTTATGAGAATTTTTGTTATTAATTATTAAAAATTATAAAATATTATAAAATATTTATTTTTATTTTTATTATTTAGATTTGAGAAAATTATTTTTACTAAAAAATAAAAATTATTTTATTAAACTTATGTAAAATATAAAATAATAAATTTTTCGTATATATATTTTTATTATATTAATTATTGTTTTAATATATATAAATAAATTAATAACCTTTATTTTTTCTATTTGATTTAGTTTTAAAATTGTATATATTTTAAAAATAAAATAATTTATATGTAATAATTAATAATAGTAATTATTTTAAAATTTAAAAAAAATATATATAAATTAATAAATTAAATATATTAAAAATAATTAATTAAATATAAAATAATTAATTAAATTTGAAGTGTAAATAAAGAATAACCAAAATGCTGAACTTTTGACAAATTAGCTTTTTGGTTCAAAAATTTTTTTCAAAAAACTAATTTATCAACCACCTAAATAGTTTTGTAACTGTAAAAAAAACTAAAAAGCTCTGCCTCTAAGTATTTTTGCCTTCTTATTAAAACTGGTATCAACCAAATAAACATAATTTTCAACCACAGAAAATGCACAATAAATAATGAAAAATCAGGCTTAAAACTATACACGAAAAAAAAAAAAAAAAAAAGATTTGAAAAATGAAAAAGTAATTGTGTAAAGAAGTTAAACAAGGAGGATGGGGATGGCAAAGGGAAAGGATTGAAGGAATCACAGCTCAGGAGGTCACGAAAAGAACAGTGAACACTGACATCCTGACACCATTTTTTTCAATAAAGTTTCACTGAATAATGATAAGCAAGAAAAGGAAAATTCTATTTTTGTTACACTATACTTAAAAATAAACATTTCATGCCATTTCTTCTACATTCTCAAAAGAATCCCCCACTTATTCATCGTTCTTAAAACAGGTCACGTTTTTAATTTTTTCCAGAAAAAGTATTTTCAAAAAATGCCCCACAAAAACTCCTTATTACATTACGCCCCAAAAGGAATTTTCTCAGTCAAATCCTCGAGAAAAGGATTTAGAGAGAGAGTAAGAGAGAGAGAGAGAACTTGCCGGAATTAATGAGCGGCGACGGCGGACGGAGGCGCGTAAGTGATGTTTCTCTGATCAGGCAGCGCGAGCATCGCCGTATGGTCAATAAAATCGTTCAACGCCGCCACGGATTGCAGAAGAGTTCGGAGATCATCGGCGCGCTGAAACCCTAAGTTTCCGCCTCTCCGCACCGCGTAGATGTAGAAAGTGATGCAACCTTTCCGGAACTTGAATCGCGCCATTTCGCAAGACGTCAGGCCTCTGATAAGCGTTTTATTCACTTCGCCGAGCGTTAATTCCGCCGGCCATAACCGTCCGGCCACAACCGCCTTCATTTCCTCCGATTCGAAAACGAACACGATTACCTTGGATTTCTTCGTCCCCAGGCCTAGCGTGAGCGTGTGCCAGGCGTGGTGCGCCAGGATTGTGAAGTTCGTCGGCAGGTAGGCGGCGGAGGAGGCGAAGGATTGTCTGACCGGCGGTAAGGCGAGGAGGCGGAGGAATTCGAGCGGCTGCGCGCGCCTTATTGTGAAGGATTTGACGATAAATTGACCGCCGAATCGGAGGCCTTTCACCGCGTAGGAAGGGCGGAATCCGAGATCGGAGTTGCATTTGGCGGTTTGGTTGTTCGGATGGTGGTGCTTCTGCTTCTTGTTTGATTTCTTAGGCTTTCCTTCCATGGCGGTGGCGGAACGACGGCGACGGCGGCGGCGGTCGGTGTGCTCTGTTTTGATGGTGTGACTGTGACAGTTATAGCGTGCGCACGATATATATATATTATATGTATATATATTGTGCGACTTAATTATTGATTATAAAAATTTAATGAATATTTTTTAAAATGTAAAATAATAATAAATTAAAAGAGAGAATGATATTTAAACGTAACTACAGCAGGTAAGGAGGGCATCGGATCACCTGTTGGAGGGTCTGTCTGATGCCGTGTCCATCCTATAGGAATTACCTCTCTTTTTAAGAATTAATTTTATTTGCCTATTTTAATTACATCATGAATTATATTTAATCATATAATTATAACATATGTTCATGTTCCTTCTTTTCGATAAAATTAAGTGAATTTGGTTAAATACAATTACTATAAAATAATAATATTTTAATATTAAAATAGCGTAAATAGAACATAACTCGGAAGTATTATAGAAGATTTACTAGATAATTGATAAAAATAAAATAAAATATGTAAAAATATAGTAGCAAATAAATGATTAGTTTGATAAATAAGAGTAATAAAATTGTAAGTGAATGAAATTATTTATATAATTATTGTGTATAAATTTTGCAGAAAATAAAAAAAAACTAAATAATTACATAGTTTTGACTAAATACACTTTGCATGTTTTCTAATTTTTATTATTTAATTTTTTTAAAGAAAATTATAATGATTATTAATTTTCCATATTCATTTTATATTTACCAACTGTTTTTATACACAAGTACTATTAAATTAATTTTCAAGAAAAAATATAAGAATAAATAATAGTTTTAGAGTTGACGATGATTTAATAATAAAAAGTGAAATTCGAATATATATTTCGAATTTAACAAGTGTCTGAGATCATGAATTTGTAAACATGCAGTACATAATATTGCTAAAGAAAATAAAAAGAAAAATTGAAAAGGATAACAAAAAATAAAATGATGATCTCCAACGAGATTTATTTGGAATTTTGTCTTATTGAAGATGTTATCTCTACCTCAAACCAGAGCGTCCAGAACCGTTTCCGTGTCGGTTACCTTTGAACCGCCTAAAAAACCGTTTCCTCATCGGTTACTAATCTGAACTGTCCGAAACCGCTTCCTCGTCGGTTACCGATCCGAACCGTCCAAATTTGCTTCTTAGTCGGTAATCTATCCCACCAAAACCATTTCCACGTCGGTAACCTTTGTAGCTGTCGCAAGGCCCAAATTCGGATGAAAACTGTCCGTAGGGGCAACCGTCTGACCGGTCTGACCCTAACAACTATCCAACCGAATGACTCTGGCCCATCACTGAATCGCCACTGGGCCCATCCATTCATATTTCCTAAACTCAAACTCTAACATCATTTTTGTACTTAACAACTTGTCTCCTCCTCCTCTGATTCCCAAACGTCACTCTCGATCGGCGCAAGAAGTGACGGTTTGGAGTCTGCAACAATAATTGGGAGTCTTTAATTACCAATCACATTTTCTTGCGCATCAATTCGGTTGTCGACAAGGTATTCCTGACTCTCTTGCCCGACCACACTACCGACTCCTCCTGAACAACCACCAACCGACCAGCCATCAGCCGACTTTCCTGCCACAAATCCTCCGGCGGTTGGGCTCCCGTCTTTGGGCCAACCAACTCTCTTGAGGCCAACCGACTTTCCGCTGGACGACTGTCTCCAATTCTTTCCATGTGTATATTTGCCTAGGAGGCAGCTTGATAAACCAAGAAAAAACCGTTTTAGTCAGAGATAGACCGAACAACTATCTCCAAAACCGTTTCCTTGTCGGTTAATAATTCGAACCGTTCGAAACTGTATTTTAGTCGGTAACCTTTGTGACCAACCGACCAACCATTGCACCTAAATTGTTTCCACGTCGGTAACCTTTGTAGTCGTCTCAAGATCCAAACTCAGATGAAAATTGTCCGTAGGAGCAACCGTCCGACCGATTTGGTCCCAACAACCATCCGAACAAATTATCCCACCACTAGGTCGCCACTTGGCCATCTATTCATCATTCCTGAACCTTAACCTCATTTTTTTATACTCAACAACTAGTATAAATGCAAAAATTATAGAGTAAAAACGAATCATTCTTATAATAATTCTGTAATCGTTGTTTTTTCAAATTGAAATCACACTATTCACACATTTCAATAAAAATATATTATTTTTTGAAAAAATCAAAAGTAAAATATTATTTGAACAAAATCTTAAATAAACACATTATTTCAAATTTTTGTGTGTTTACTTGTGAGGTTTTGGTTTTGGGTTTTGATTTTAAATAGTAAAATTTTGAATTGAAATAGTAATTTGATGTGATATAAATATATATTGATGTAATATTTTGAATGTTAAATTAGATTTTAGTGTAATAAAATAAATAAAAATTGAATGTTTTTTAAGGGAAAAAATTAGTTAGAATAATAAAATCAAATGTAAAAAACTTATAAGTAAACAAAGCCTTAGTCAATAATTGGATAATTTTAGTTCAAATATTCAGATAGTGTTTTGATCTTTTGGATTTTTTTCAATTTATATATTATTTAATTTTTACGAATTAATTATAAATATATGTTATTTTTTTATATATAAAATATCATGTTCAAATAAATATTTAAAAGAATTATAGACAAAAAAAATCAACACTCAACCACACTCTAAATTACACTTTCAATGATCGAAATATAATGTTATATATGGTTACAGTAGACACGATGATATTTAAAAGAGAGTATGATTAATAAATAATTAAAAATATAGTAGTAAAAATAATTATAGTATAATATAAATAATTATATATTAAAATAAGTAATTAATATAATTAAAATAAAACAAATTATAAATTATAAAATTCATATATAAATAAATTATGTAATCATTTAAAGAAAAAAAAATGACATACAAACTTACAAATTTAAAAATAAATATTGTTTAAAGTTGTATTTGCTTAGAAGATTTTCAAGAATTTTAATTATATATTAAAAAAAATTCCTAAAAATATCAAATTAAATATTTATTTTTATTTTTTTATATTATATTGAAAATTAATTTTACATTCAAAACATCGCATCAACACTTACTTATATCATATTATACAATTATTACAATTCACGATTTTTACTATTTAAATCTCATGGCCAAACAAACACAATGTTAATTTGTTGCATAATTGTTCTGATATTTTTTACAAATTATCCGGAACTAATTTATAAAGCAAAAAACTGGAAAACATGCATATATTTATGTTCACATCATGAATTTGTATCATAGTAACTAAAATAAATAAATAAATAAATAAAAGTGCTATATCTTGCCATTACAAAATTGTTACACGTACTAAACAATTTATTATTATTATTATTATTATTATTATTATTATTAACATTATTAAAGTATTAAATTACATTGCAAATATACACACGCATACGTATATTGTACAAGATGGGAAAAAGTAAACACGCTTTTTTCTTCTTTTTATTTTTATTTTTATCAGAAGTAAACACGCTTTTAGCTATAATAATGGACTTGAGCTTATCATCAAATCTCCGGGTTTTATGCTTCGGGGAATTTGCACGTAGGAGTGCCTGCGATACAATCATTGAAACAAATGTGAATTATATTATAATTAAATTATTTAAAAATATAATAATATGTCATATAATCAAATAATAGTTATAAAGATAGAAAATAATAATAAAAAAAAAAAGAGAATGATTTTAATTTTTTTTTTTGTGTGAAATAATTATTAAATATAGAGTTGACAAATCGACCCATCTAATTTTCTTTGTATCAAGTCTGGTTTGTTTTTAAAGTTTTGCATGCCTATCGCCTGCATGATTTTAAACTGGTTTAATGAAATTTTGGATTTTTATAATTATATTATGTGAAAATTTATTTTAAAAATAAATTAATATCCTATTTTTTTATTTGGACGTCTAACAATTATTATTATTTTTTTTAGATACTAGTTTTACTTTCTTACACTTTATTTATTTATTATTTTTAATCTCTATTTTACTAGAAAATATAAATTTGTTAATTCATAACAAAAAAATATATATATATATATATACAAATTAGACAGAAGTAAGTATTAATTTAATAAATAAAATTAGAATAAATTATATTTTTATTGATAATTAAAAAAATGATTTTTATTTAAATAAAGAACTAACTAAATAAAACTTAGAATATTTAATTTCAATACAAACTATTTTATGTGGGGTTATTTCGGTATTTACTTTTAATTTCATTATATATATATATTTAATTATTTGTTGATAAATTTATAAATTATTTAATTTAAAATATTTTTTAAATTTTAATAAATCAGGTCAAATCAAACACAACCCGACCATCACAGGCCCAAGCCCGTACAATTCAGCATTTGTTTGCCAGCAAAAAATATCAAAATTTCAAATTGTACTTATATTTTACTGCTTCAATGAATCAAATACAATGTTCTATATGAATGATACGTACTCGGATCGACGTCGGTTATCATGCCGAAGCCAGAGAATCCGCAGTCGGAATCCTTCCCGCCTCGGGATTGGAAGTAGTTATTCATGACGTAGGCGGCGTGCTCGCGGATGGTCAAATGGGCCTTCACAATTTGGCCGGGTTGGTAACAATCGCCGCCGGGCAACACCCCCGTGCAACAGTCGGGCTTCCAATTACATACGAACGCCATGATACCCATCAATGCGACGTCGGTGGCATCGTCCCTCGGCACGCACCATTTCTTACCGGAGACTGCATGATGATCCGGGTGATCGTGGCCGTTCACGCTGCCGGCCATCACCGCCACCGCCGCCGCGGCGACCATCAGAATTGCACGTACCGGAGACATATTTATTCTCTATCTATATATGTATGTATATGTATTATTTATTTATTTATGTATGTGTGTGTATATACAAGTATATTATGTACTATGAGAACGGGTTTGTGTATATATAGTTTTTGTTGTGTCGAATGTTTGGCGGATTGGTCGGAGTTTCTTTGGTGGGAAATTTCTTTACCTAAAATGGCTATACTTAATTTAGGATTTTGCGTTTATTGTGAAAATTAGACATAAACTACGTGTTACATGTGTCTTGTTTTCCCACGATCATCATGGTGATTTTATCGTAGTCGTTCAAATCCAGCGAAGAAACGAATTATAAAATTATGAGAGTACAAAATGTGGATTTATTTTTATTAAATTAATAAATAAAAATTCAAGAAAACCATATAAAATTTAATAATTTTTAGTAACAGAAAAAAAGAAAAAAAAAAAAGGTTTGAAGTGCAAATGAATATATTATAAAAATTATATTGAGTCTGTTTACTAAAATTTTTACTAAAAATTTTTAATAGAACAATTTCTTATTAATATTAGTATTAAAAAAAATATAAATATACACAAATTAATACTATAATATATATTATTCATTCATAAAAATTAAATAATTTAACATAAAAAAATTATTTTTATATTATCAATACAGTTCACCATATCACACAAAAAAAATTAATTTATGTAAAAACGATCAATGAACACACTGATTAATTACTTTTATTGTTTGATATTAAAAATGATATATTTAAATTTTAGAAAATAAAAATTTAATATTATTAAAAATATTTATATGAAATATAGATAAAATAGGCAATATTACTTAATATTGTATGTTTAATTTTATATTGTGTTATTTAGGGTGTGTTCGTTTGTAGAATTTTAACAAAATTCTACTATTCATCCAATTTTTTTCCCCCAAAAACATCAAATCAAACACCTATTTTTCATTTTTTATATTATACTAAAAATTAATTTTACATTCAAAACATCACATCAACACCTATTTATATCACATCATACAACTATTCAAATTCTAAATTTTTATTATTCAAATCCCAACTCAAAATCCAAACCCCCAAACAAACACACCCTTAAGTTTATTTCTTATTTAAGGTTACACATTTTCTATAACTAATGTTAATTTTTATTTATATTATTATTTATAAATGTTATAATCATTTAACTTTAATATAAATAATTTATAATTATTTTTATTATAATTACATAATTATAAAATTCAATAAATATTAAATAAATAAATAATTTACCATAAATATCAATTCAAGTTATAATACAAATAAATAAATTAATAAATAATAAAATCAAAATTAACCAAAAAAAATAAAACAAACAAAAATGTAAGTTTAAAAAAATTCAAATTAAAATACAAATAAAATAAAATAGATAGGAACAAAAATTATTTTTATTACCTTCAATATTATAATTATCAATTTTGATCATATTGAATTTTTTTATATCAATTTTGATCTCACTCAATTATCAATTTTATTTTTAATTTATTTATTGTGCCACCAGTAAAAAAAAAAATTTAAATCGGTCTTTGCTCAACATGGCCGTGTTGATTACCTTGCACTTTTAAACACGATCGTGTTCCGAACATAATCATGTTATTGTCCATGCTCATGACACTGTTCTTAACACAACTATGTTCTAAACCATGTTTACAACTAAATTTATTTTTAAAAAAATGTAGTACCTATAAAAAAAAATTGCTAAATTGCACAAAATCTACTTGTGATTTCATAAAATTGCGTCAAATATCTTATATTTCTAAAACTGTGTCAAACTCGTGGTTTCATAAACTCTGCGTCTAACTCCCTCAGCGATCCTTATTTGACGTTATTTGACCTAAATGCGCCAAAACTATAAATAAATTTTGGAATTTCAATTTCTAAACCTCTAAAATTACAAATATATTCTTTTTTCTTATATTTAGCCTCAAAAATAATGAATATAGTAAAAAATAGTTATTTTTTTCGGATTTTAAGAGTTTATTTTTACTATTTTTTAAAATTATATATAAGAAAAATAAATATATTTGTAATTTTAGGGGTTTAGAAATTAAGATTTTAAAATTTATTCGCAATTTTGGCTCATTTAGATCAAATACCGTTAAATAAAGACCTCGAGAAGTTAAACTTAGAATTTATGAAACCACAAAAATTTTAACGTAGTTTTAGAAATATAAAAAATTGGACACAATTTTGTAAAATTAAAGGTAAATTATTATGCAATTTTTTTATTTTTTTATTTTTTTCAAAAAAAAAATTAGAATCATTTGTCCTGACGGATAAGGAGTACTAATGAAGAGTCAATTATCTTGACTTGAAATATTATTTAAATTAAATAAGGTGACGAGATGCACCTCAAAATCAAATCACCATTTCCCGTATTTGCATCCACTTTTCGTTATCTACATACTAAAAATAATTACACCTTTTCAACAATTAATGCCTGACACATTTGTTGTGCCACCTCACCCTTTCAACAAATTGACCGTTGATTCAAATATGTCAAATTAAATATTGATGGCTTACTATGAATATATTTAATTTAAATTATTACCATAGCTGTTACCACCCCGTAATTTTAGTAATTACTCATTTAAACAAGGTGGATGCAGAAAACTAACGTAATATTTTTATTAGGATAAATTAGAACAAATTATACTGAATAATAAAAATTCATAGTAATTACTCTTTTTTTAATCCAACAATTAAAATATTTACCATATATTTTAAAGTGTCTTTATATGTAAGAGTATTTCCTTTTTTAAGTGTAACGGTCATCCGAGTTACTAATATAATGACATTTGTATAAAAATTATATAAATATATGATATTTCTAATATTAAATATAATAACGTAAAATACAAATAGATAACTTATTATAAGACTGAAAAAAAATATTCATATTTATTTATATTCTATCAGATATTTTTGGGAATATATTTTTGACAATATTTGACATTATTTATCAATAATTTTTTTTTTTTTTTCTAGTTAGCTTGGAAAGTAAGTTTAAATTTTTATTTAAATAATATTGATAAAATATTTTATAAGAGAACAAAATTATTTTAAATAGTAATTTTTTTTTAAAAAAAATTGTCTTTAATATTTTTTGATTGAAAGAAATAGTGAAAATTATTTACACACGTTTTATCCAGCAGACAAATGTACGGCCTGTTTCAAAATATATATCTATCCATAAACACGCTTTTCTTTGTTTGTCCCCTTTCCAATATAGAAAACGCGTTGTCACAAACCAGCGTTTTTTTCTTTAAATTCCCAAACTGCAAAATTCTTTTACCCTTACAGTTGTCTTCCACCTCACTTTCTACACACTATTCCAATCCAAACCCTTCTCCACCGTCCATGGCTCCTCCCACCGCCGCCGCCGCCGCGGTGGCGGCGCTACTCCTCGCCGCCATCTCCGCCGCCCACGCAATCGGCGTCAACTACGGCACCCTCGGCGACAACCTCCCCCCGCCGGCGCAGGTCGCACAGTTCCTCAAAACCCAAACCTCAATCGACCGCATTAAAATCTTCGACGTCAATCCCGACATCCTCCGCGCCTTCGCCGGCACCGGAATATTCGTCGCCGTCACCATCCCAAACGGCGAGATCCCCGCCCTCACCGACGGCGGCTACGCCGGCCAATACGTCGCCGCCAACATCCTCCCCTTCCACCCCCAGACCAAAATCAATTACATCCTCGTCGGCAACGAGATCCTCCACTGGGGCCCACAGAACCTCGTCGACAACCTCGTCGCCGCCATGCGGTCCGTACACCGCGCCCTCCTCGCCGCCAACGTCACCGGCGTCAAAGTCACGACGGCCCACTCGCTCGGCATCCTCGAGTCGTCCAACCCGCCGAGTCTCGCCAGATTCAGGTCCGGTTGGGACCGGGGCGTCCTGGGCCCGGTTCTTCAGTTCCACCGCGAAACCCGGTCGCCGTTCATGGTCAATCCCTACCCCTACTTCGGCTACTCGCCGGAAAATGCCAATTTCTCACTCTTCTTACCAAACAGAGGCGTTTACGACAAGCTCACCCGCCGGACCTACGGGAACATGTTCGATCTACTTATGGACGCTGTCTACGTGTCGATGATGAGGCTCGGGTACAAGGATGTCGAGATCTCCGTCGGGGAGACAGGCTGGTCGTCGCTGGGGGAGAGCTTCGAGCAGCCGCGGTGCTCGGCGGCCAACGCGGCGGCGTACAACGGCGGTCTTGTCCGAAAGTACAATTCCGGCCGGGGCACGCCGTTGCTGCCAAGGAGGAAAATCGAAACCTACATTTTCGGACTTTTCAATGAGAATCAGAAGTCCGGGCCCTTGTCCGAAAAGAATTTCGGGCTTTTCAAGCCCGATTTCTCCTCGGTTTACGATATCGGGCTCCTCCGGTCCGGCGCCGCTTCCCCTCGCCAGGTAATTAATTAGTTAAATAAATAATTCTCCATATAGACGTTATTATTTCTCTATTTATTTATATTTTTAAATTTAAATAAAATATGATGCAAATAAAATTGGAATGCGACAATTTGTGTTGGATTCATAAAAACATAAATATTTTAAACGGTTTAAATTACTACGTTAGATGCAAGTGTAAAAGTACGCATCTGTATGTGTCAGGTTCACTATATTTGTTGTACTACAAAAATTAGGATTTAGATATGTCTTCCAAACAGTGCCTTGTGGAAGGCTCTAGAGGGATTGAATTTTAATGAATTTGTGCCTAACTGTAATAATTATGGCGGACACGTGTCGTTCAGAATAGGAACATTTGATTGACTGTACTATACGGCTGGAATTTTCTGTTCACAGCAATGTACAAATATTAGCAACGTATACATTTATAAATATATAGAGATAGATAAGTATAAAATTTCATTACAAGATTTTTACCATGCACATGGTTTGTGGTTAAAAAATGACAGCTAGCATCACGTGCAAAAAGGCTGAAAAGGTGCTTATCTGTCTCCCCTTGGATTCTCTAATACGTGTCCCTTCTTTTTTTTTTTTCTTTTTTTTTTATTTTAATTTTAATTTTTAATTTTCTATTTCATTTTCCTCCTTTGAATCTTGTTCTTCTTGTCCCTTCCGATATTCTTTCCCTCAATCTCTACGTAGAACTTTGTCCTTCTGGATTTCCTTGCCGCTCCCGGGAGTCCAACTCCCAGGATTTTGATATTATTAATATTATTAGCCTTGCCTTATATGATATGTCTTGTCTTAATACAAACCCTTGGCGCACAAAACCAGTAGAAGAATATATCTATTTTTATTGGTGAAGTAGGGTGAGTTTGTTTTTGTGAAATAGTTGCAAATTTTATTTTTACATGAGATATATGAAATTGTGTAGAAAATATAAAAATAATAAATATTTATAATGTATTAATTTTTTTAAAAAAAACATGTACAAAAAATATAGAGAACAAATCCGTAGTCTCTACAATAGCGGTGGTTAGAGTGCTGATTGCGTCAAATTTGACCCAACAAGCACACTAACTCCAACACGTTCCATATAGCTCTAGAAGCATTGTGTAGGACCTCGATAAATATATTTATTGCACTGAAAATCAATAATATATATGTAGTTGTATACTCTTTTGTCCCTTAACAATCTATTCATTTTTCTATTTTAGTCTGTCTCGTAACAAAGTATTTATTTATTTTTTTAATTGTACTATCTACTTAACATTACAAATACCCTTCCAATTTATAATAAATTACACAAATGACATTACATTTATATCATATCATACTAATAGGGTTAATTTAGTCTTTTTACTTTTATTTCTACTTTATCCCAATATAATACTAATATTTCTAAAATTTCGTGCAAAAAGCAAATGGATATATAGATATGGGACAGAGGGGGTATTATTCTTTCCGTCCAACCATAAAGTAGTCATATTTTTATTTTGTGTTATCTAATTACAAATTAATCATTTTATTAAAAATACATACTTTTTTTTCTACAAACGTCTATACTTTATCATAACACAAAAAAGAAAAGCAAGCCAAAATTGTATTTATGCTACTTTATTTTTAACTATCCATTCTAGTTAAAATACTATTATTTCTTAAACTCCACGTAAATGTTTACTTATTATCCAAACATTATGTGTTGCATATTGTATTATTTATACATTATCTATGACCATATTGATTTATCATGAAATAAATTTAATCCCAAGGAATGATTAAATTGATGACATTGGTGCAGCAGCCCGTTCCGAGACCGTCGACGCCGCCAACGGCCCAAGGCAGCAGCAAGTGGTGCATGCCGAAACCCGACGCTACCGACGAGGCACTACAGGCGAACATAGACTATGTTTGCAGCCGGCCGGGAATGGACTGCGAAGCGATCCAGCCGGGGGGGCCGTGCTACGACCCCAATACGGTGAGGGCTCACGCCGCCTTCACCATGAACAGATACTACCAAAAGGAAGGCCGCAATGACTTCGACTGCTTCTTCTCCGGCTCCGCCGTTATAACCTCCACCGATCCCAGTAAGTGTCTCTCTGTTTACGCAAATATTTTTGAAACTTTAGCCACTTTTCATTTACCGTAGTTTTTTCAAAAATAAGATTCAAATTTGCTTATAATTCACTTGGATTTTGAAAAGTTTGCATCATATTTTTTTTTTATGTTTAAAAATTGGATAAGGTTTCGTCGCATTTGCAAAAAATGTTGTACATACTCTCTTAACAAAAGAATTTTATGTAATGTTTTGAAAATATGAAGGAGTTTTATGCAATTTATAAATTAGGAGAATAATGATCGCAAATGGATTATATAAGTATTTTTGCATAAATAAAATATGGGTAAATTGATCTTTTTGTCCGATTTGGATTATTTTTATCATTTTAGTCATGTAATCGGAGCTTGTCGCAAACTAGTTCTGTAAGTGGTAATGTTTTGCCGATTTAGTCCTGGAGGACTAAAAGTGCGAAATTTTTTCACTTACTAGAACTAGTTTGCTGCAAACCCCAGTTATATGACTAAAATGATAAATGAGTTCGGTAAAAATTAGTTACCTATAAATTATATTAGTTATTTTTACAATTATAAACTTCACAACTCCAAAAGCTCTCTATTATGGCTTTTATTTTAACAAACTTTCCTTCGAACAAGTGATCATTTATTTGCCTGTCTATTTTTGTCTGAGATTTTGTTTATGTTTATCATTAATTAGGTTATGGGACGTGCAAATATGAATCTTGAAGAATTGGGGCACGAAAAGTGTACTAGTGTATGTAAGAGAAGGACCATTTTGGAGGGGGCCTATTGCCTATTGGGTCGTTTTGGGGGGGCTTTGATCACCATGGATATCTATCTATCTACTCTACCTATCTCTATCTCCCTCTACATATGCTGTAATAATTATAGATAGATAGATAGATATATATATATATATAAATATATAACTATTGATTGGCTCCGAATGATGGTGATGTTCTTACATTATGATTTAATCTTATAGATTAATTTTTTTTGTTCTTAATAGCAACATTGTGGTATGCATTCATGGCTTGCACCTCGGCTAATGTTAGAGGCGGAATCAACCTTCTTAGGGTGCGTTTGTTTGGGGAATTGGATTTTAATTTTACTATTTATCACATTTTTTTTTTCAAAAATATCAAATCAAACATTTATTTTTTATTTTTTATATTATATTAAAATTTAATTTTATATTTATAATATTATATCAACGCTTATTTATATTATATGATACAACTATTCAAATTCAAAAATTTTACTATTCAAATCTCAACTCAAAATTCAAACCCCAAACAAACACACCCTTAGTAGTGCTGACAATTGGTAGGTTTTTATTGGATTGAATATTATTAAACGGAACGTCTGATTCGTATTGATCTGTATATATTTATAGTTGAAGTTTATAATTAAAAATATCAACAATAATTATTCAAATTTTTTTATTTGAAATTAAATTATATATAAAATTATTATAATTTTGTTTTTTTATCAAAAAATAATCATTTAAAATTTTTAAAAATTAACTAAAACTATTTAAAATATCTAAATATATAATTAAATATGTTAATATAAAAATAAACAAAAATTTTTATACAAAATTATAGATGCAAATATATACTACCCCCGTCCAGCTAGAAAGTAAACATATGTTTTTGCGTCATTATATTTAACATTAAAAATATTTTTATATTTATATAGTTTACTCCGAAAATATGATTGTATTTGTATTACAAGAGACTAATAGATGTATCTTTGTCATTTTCTAATTATTTATATTACGTTTTGATATAATAATTAATATTCGAATATCAACACAAAAAAATCACTGTGTACTTTATGGCTGGACGGAGGTAGCATATTTTTTATATAATTTTTTTTATGAAAGTTATAGCCAGTTGATTAACAACATCAAAATTATACATTTGAACAAATTTAAAATAAATTAAAATTATAATAAAAAATAGAATACAATTTAGAAGTAGATGTAATTAAAAAAATTATAATCATTTATCTATAAAAAAAAATACTCACCTCATTTGATGACTGAAATTTTCTCCAGATTTGAACTGAACGTTCCGATGAACAACTTTCAATGTTCATACTGCAGAGATGTATATATATAAATAACAACTCCATATATTAACAAAAAATTAAATATCCACTTAACCATTCCACTCTTCTCTTCGTTCTTATTTTCCTTCTTCTTTCTTCTTTACCCACTCTGCTTCTTCGCCTAGGTTAATACGTAATATATATTATGTTACAAAAATTTAAAAAGGTTTTGATTTTGGTTCGATGGCGGTTATGGGTGAGCATTGGTCGATTCAAATCGAAAAAATCGAAATTTTTTTCGATTTGGACTATTTTGTTTGGACTGTTCGGTTAATTGATTCGGTTCAAGATCGAATTTATAAATTTCGGCTTTGGTTCGATTATGGTTTTCAATTTTTAATTTTGATTCACCAAAAAAAATTAAACTTTAAACAATAAATAAATAAATTATATATTAAGAAGTAATATATATTATAATTTTGAGTATATATATTTATTGTATATTAAAAATTTATATGAATAAATAAAAGTTTGATTTCTTCGGTTTTAAAGCAAATCGTTTGGTTCGATTTATTTGATTTAAAAAAACTTTGATTTGGTTTTAATTTCAATTTTTATAAATAAAAATCGATTAAAATTAAAAGTTCGGTTCGATTCGAACCAAATCGAATTGAATGCACACCCCTAATGGCGGTAAGATTTGAACTGGAACCGTCGATTTAAAACCAGCAGTCCAACCGCAAACCGATTGGGCAAGTAGCCAAGGTTAGGTAGACTTGTCCGGTTTACACCGCCGATTACTATGATTGCAAACAGCTAGTTTGTTAAAACATCGAATCAAAATCGACTTTTTTTAGGAACAATTTCGATTACCGTTTAACTTTGATTACCATTTATAAACAATTGTTACGGTTTACTAGGAAAGAAAAATATCAAGCCTAAAATGATAAAAAAAAAATACATTTTAAATTAATACTGAGAAGTATAATTTAAATTATATATAATTATTTAATAAAAATGTATAAATATAAAATATTATTGTTAAAAAGTATTTAGTTTTATTAATATTAATATTATTTTAATTTTTAAAAATATTAATAATATATAATAATGATTACGTTTGCCCTAATCAATTACGTAACAAATTATTACATATCCATCCACAGCCGCCCGCCGCCGTCCTCTGTCTCCTCTTCCTCCAATTTTTTCCTTTCTTTCATTTTCTTTCTTTCGGTTCCGGTTTGAACCGGAACCGACGGTTTGAAATCGGCTAACCGGAGGTTGAACCGCGGGTTCGAAACCGATTGAGCAGGTCCAAGTTTAGGTGTGTTTTGGGAGAAAAACCACAGAGAGCAAACAAATGACTCACAAGGGTTTTTTTTTTTTCTTTTCTTGTTTTAGGGGTTTATGCGATTCTCCATTCGCATCATTTCCATATCCCTCCGCCGCTGCACTGCTCCGCCGTCCAGCCGTCGCTTCTACTTTCAGATGGCGGATTCCGCTGCCAACAGCAAGGGTAAGTCGAATTCGAACTCAAATTCACCGGTGTACGCCAAAGACGAAGCGTATCTTCAATCTGTCATCCCCAAACGAATTGCCCTTTTCGAATCTATCCAGAATCAGCAGAAGATTAGTCGCCTTGCCCTCTCGCCGGATCCAATTCAGTAACCACCGCAGTCTATTTCATTCCTTTGGTTGTTTTTTATTCTGAAATGTTTAAATTGTTATGTCGCTTCATTTACTGAAAAAAAAGGATTACGTTGCCGAATGGGAAAGTGAAGGAAGGCAAGAAATGGAACACGACGCCACTAGATGTCGCAAAGGAAATATCTAAGAGCTTGGCGTCAAACGCCTTGATTTCCAAGGTGGATGGGGTTCTGTGGGATATGAACAGGCCATTAGAAGGCGACTGCAAGCTTGAGCTGTTTACCTTTGATACTGATGAAGGCCGTGATACTTTTTGGCACTCCAGCGCGCACATTCTTGGCGAGGTAAAGTGACTATAATAGTTGCTATTTTGTTTGAAGTGCCTATCATAACCGAGTTAATTGTTTCTTCTGGGTTGTGCCAGTCGTTGGAGCAGACATATGGATGCCGACTGTGCATTGGGCCTTGCACTACAAGGGGCGAGGTAAATTTTGTGATATTTGTAGCATTCCTCGCCATATAAATATTTTGTGCTATGAAATCAAATCGCAATATTTGGATACTTGCTAACATTCAAATGAATTTTCCCAATATAGGTTGATGATGATTATTTTAATTTTTTGAAGTTAGATGCAAAAAATCATTGAACAAGTAAAAAGTACAAGTATTATATTGGAAGTCTAAAATTTTTGTTTATTCAGCTTATGAATTATTGTTATGCATCTTACATGATACTTGCATGTTCGCAATTCCAGTTTCATTTCAAAACGGCGAAACTCTATATATATAAACAGTATTTTTTAATTAATAAGGTAAAAAATGTAATTGATGCAGTAAAGAACAGGTTGTATGTAAATATGAACTATTTTTAGATTAATAGAGATGGAACTTTGACAATATTATAAATGAAGATTTGGTTTTTGGTTCATTCTATTGTGCTAAAACAAATCAAAATCAGATTGAATGTGGGATTTAATGAAAGAAAATCAGGAAAAATTGTTTGGCTGACGGCTCCCGAAACTGAATTTTCAGTATGTAGTTCAATATTTTACTCCATGTCTGTTACAAAAGGAATTCTTTGCAAGAGCTATTACTTTTATTGAAATTGGCTTTAGATGTTTTCCTTACTAAACTTTGATGATTATTCACTTTAGAATTGTGTTACTTTTAGGTTGCTGCTGTAAGTTTTAATTTGCTCTTACATTCATTGATTTCTGAGCATCTAATATCGAAGCATCTTCATCGTATGCAGGGATTTTATTATGATGCATTTTATGGTGATCTGGGCTTGAATGAGGATCATTTCAAACAGATTGAAGCGGCTGCCAAAAAAGCCGTTGACGTAAGACTCGTTATGCACTTATGCTTGATCTAATTTACTTTTTTTTTTATACTTATTAATGAGCATTTTGCGAGTAATGGTACATTTAACATTTGAGTTCTCTTACCGTTAGAAGGCATGCGATTATGGCTGGATATAAAACTACTTCTCATATTTTTGCCAATATGACGGGCTATTGTGTAGCATGGTTCTTTTTTAGTTCAATGTGTTTTTCTGTTCCTTGTGCTTTAGGAAAAGCAACCATTTGAGCGCATTGAAGTTACGAGGGAACAAGCTCTTGGCATGTTCTCCGATAATCAGTTTAAGGTCAGAAAGTTTACGGTTTATATTGTTTCCTATTTCTATACATGCTCACTGTACACACATAATTGTTTTAATATCTCCCCTGTGATATTTTTATAACACAACTATGTTATATTAGGTTGAAATTATTAAGGATTTACCCGAGGATAAAACTATCACAGTCTACAGATGTGGTCCTTTGGTTGATCTATGTCGTGGACCTCACATACCAAATACCTCTTTTGTGAAAGCATTTAGCTGTTTGAAGGTGAGAACTACCCACTATTAGGAAACATATTCATTCAAGTAAGAAATTCACTTCTTGCGACATTGTTACTTAGGCATCATCTGCATATTGGCGAGGTAATAAAGACCGTGAAAGCTTGCAAAGAGTCTATGGGATATCTTATCCCGATCAAAAACGTTTGAAGGTGATCTATATCCTTAATTTTGTGTTTTAGCATCCTTTGCTATCTCGGTGTGCTTAGTGGTGATTTTGGCAGGAATACAAAGCCATGCTAGAAGAAGCTAAGAAATATGACCATAGGGAACTGACCAAAAAGCAAGAGCTCTTCTTTTTTCACCCCCTTAGGTAAGAGTTGGAGTTTGAACTTTTTCTGCACAATCTGTGATTCTAATTGGATTTGATTTGATTTTATTTTTGTATAAATTCAGCCCTGGAAGTTGTTTCTTTTTACCCCACGGTGCTCGAGTTTGCAACAAGTTACTGGAATTTATGCGAAATCAGTACTGGAAAAGAGGCTATGAAGAGGTAAAGCTAGTTTATTTTCTACTAGAAATGCATAAATACAATATGCATATGCATTGATTACAATACATGTTGCTTAATTTTGATAGGTGTGGACCCCAAATATGTACAATATGCAGCTGTGGGAGACATCTGGTCATGCGGCCAACTATAAGGAGAATATGTTTGTGTTCGAGGTTTGATAATACTTCAGAAAGATCAGATTGATCAATGTGAAATATATGTTGCACAGTAGGAGTCTTGGTGTCTAGGGTAAAACTTAGGGTGGTGTTTTTCTGTCAAGTTGGATGGAAAGATTTATCTGTATTTTGTTGCAGGTTGAGAAGCAGGAGTTTGGACTCAAGCCAATGAACTGCCCTGGCCATTGTTTAATATTTGATCATAGAGTTCGCTCCTATAGGGGTGAGCTGGCTTTCCTTTAGCCTTTTCCCAACTGTTTTATTAGCTTTGAGATAATCCATACACTTCACATGAACAAATGGTCACCTGATTATTGTTTGATTTACTGTTTTATCTTTGGACTGATCAACTGGATTGCTTCAAATTATATGATCTTGTTTTCTTCTCAATATCTACAAATTATGCACTTTTTTTTTCTTTAGCATTCTCCAAATGTTTTATTAGCTGACATAATCCTTAACCTACAGATGAACAAACAGTTCAACTGATTATTGTTTGATTTATTTTATATATATATATATATATTTTATCCGAACTGATCAGCTAGATTACTTCAAATTCTTGATCTTGTTTGGTTCTCGATATTTAGATGATCAAATTCGTCATTTTTCTTGAAAGAGAGGCACATGATTGTTCTGTTTTGGATTGTCTCCATCTTTACAGTTCTCCCTATCTAAAAAAAATAGATAAAATTCTTGTCAGTTTTAAGCAAATATTAACTATCCTTCTCAATATTATATAATCAACCTAATATGTATTTCTGTGAAAATGATTGGGTTCTGACATCCATATACATGTTCTTTTTAATATTTTTATATTAGATAAAAAGCCATATTGGAGGACATCATGATATCCCAACGTGTTTATTGTCTGTGCCAATTTCTTTCACAAAGCTTGTGTAATATTAAATGAAGCACATAACATGATACAATACCATTCTGCAGAACTTCCACTTCGCCTGGCAGATTTTGGAGTCCTGCATCGAAATGAAGCAAGTGGGGCACTTACTGGGTTGACTCGTGTGAGGAGATTCCAGCAGGTATATTTTGATCGTAGCATGATCCTGGAAAGAATAGATGACTTAAATCATCGCTATTAGCCAAAGTTTTATCCTTTTGTTTTTTCAAAATGACCTTTTTATTACCACTGCCTAATTGCAACAGTGGGTGCTTGAGTTTCTACTTATGAATTGTTGTTGTAGTTCAGATGAACATTCTGGTTGTCATAGTTTACTTGTGGATGCTATGTGTTTTTACTTTTTGACTGGTTGGGCAAATCATCTGACACTAGAATTTTGGTACAGGATGATGCTCATATTTTCTGTCGGGAGTCTCAAGTAAGATGAATTTTATGATTAATCCAGAATTTATTAATTATGTAAGATATTTGTTTGATATTTTTACTTTTCACAGATTAAAGATGAAGTCAAGGCTGTTCTGGAATTCATCAGTTATGTTTACAAAATATTTGGCTTCACCTTTGACCTAAAGTTGTCTACGGTATGGATTTTAACACTTTAAATGGAAATGACATTCTACATATCCATCCTATATGTATGCACTGTGCAAGTTATATCTATATATTGGCACTAAAATCTCATGGCTTTCCCACCTCTCTTGATAAACAAGGTCGAACATATGAATGGAATAGATAAACAAGAGATTTAAATGGAATGTCAACATGATCTGTGGCTTTACTGAAGTCTAATTGAACTATGTTGTTAATGAATTAATCTAAACAAGTTCCGCTTTGTGTGCTTCAGAGACCGGAGAAATTTCTCGGAGACCTGGAAACATGGGAAAGGGCTGAAGCTTCCCTTGCTGAAGCACTAAATGAGTTTGGAAAGCCTTGGGAGGTTAGTTATATAGCTTGATATTTCCCTGTTGCAAGCTAATTTTCTCGTGAAACAATGATTTTATGCTAAGAAGTCCTTTATGTATCTGTGTGGGCATATTTGTCGACTCTTTTGGTTACAGACTTTATATCTTATCTTTTTCATTAGATCAATGAAGGTGATGGAGCATTCTATGGGCCTAAGATTGATATTAGTGTTTCTGATGCAATGAGAAGAAAATTTCAGTGTGCAACATTGCAGGTTAGTGTTCTTTCTTTAATTTATCAAGCCAGTCGAGGAGAAATGCAACCTTTTGCAACATTACCTCCATGTTATTCTATCTGGTTGTCTTAATTTCACACCTAACTCCAGCATGAAATATGATCTTCAGAATAAAAAAACATTAAATTGAAGTAAAATATTATCTAGGATTGGAAGAGGTAATGTCTCCCCAACTTACACAAACTGAGAAAAGCAACTACAAACCGGGAATTAAGAGTTCGCTAGAATGAAATTTTAGAAGCTTAACCCCCAAAATGTTCATACTCTACACACTTTCATAAGGAGCAAGGAACTAGAAAGAGAAACTCACTGATCCGAAGTTGAGAACCTGCTAATAGAGATCGTGAATGCAAGTAACACGCCTGGAGGGCCTATTTGTGCCGAAGGGGCCAACATTATGTCAGTGCTGTTTTAATATTTTCTTGCTGTGGGACAGTGAAATCGCATGTTTTTATAATCTTAATTTGACCTGGTCTCAAAAGTTGCATATCTTTTCTTTTGTTGAAGCATTGATCATTTATGAATTACATCACTATGTCAGCTGGATTTCCAACTACCATCTCGATTCAACTTAACATACTCAGCAGAAGATGAAACCAAAAGGGAAAGGCCTGTTATGATACATAGAGCCATTTTTGGATCGGTTGAGCGAATGTTTGCCATTCTGTTGGAGCACTACAAGGGGAAATGGCCTTTTTGGCTTAGCCCACGCCAGGCAATAGTCTGTCCTGTCTCCGACAAATCCCAGCCATATGCTCTGCAGGTAAGCCACTGCTGATTTGACCTTTGTGAGATCCTTTCTCCCCTTCAACATCTGTTCAGCTTTATCAGGTTGAAGCACTATCTGTTTCTGTCGAGATATGTTAATCTAACTGTTCATAAATCGACAAATTTATTATGAGTGTTGTTTCTCATCTTGTCTACTTCATGATAATCACCGTCGCTGAACATAGGTACGGGATCGCATACATGATGCTGGAATTTTTGTTGATGTTGATACGACTGACAGAACAATTAACAAGAAGGTGCGTCTAACTTTGTATCTGCATCATTTGTTATGGTGCGCTGTTCTACTGTATTAGGATTTAGGATATGTGGCACCTACCAATTTGTGTTCCTGTTATTGCCATATTATATCATGCTATTTTAACATTTTTGGATGCATTTAACCTGCACCATGATTTTCCTTGGTGTTCATTTCTTGTGCAATTCTTCTCAACTATTTTTCTATCGGCCAAGTAACTGGAAAAAGTAGTTTGCATTGTTAAGGGTCATACTTAGCCTGTTTGTGCAAATAATGTGATTGTCCAGCAATCACCATCGTTAGTATTTTCTGATTTATGTTTCTCCTGCAAGAACGGTTATGGTAATGATGATTCGGTTTCGGATGTTTGTAGGTACGTGAAGCCCAGTTGGCTCAGTATAACTATATATTGGTTGTTGGAGAGAAAGAAGTCGGAACTGGACAGGTATTCTTACATTACATTCATATAAGTGTCTGATTTTTAGGGGAATTGTTTAATATCTTAGCAATGAATACGAAGATCTCAAATTGGCTCTATTATTCATTTTTATTAGAACTTCGGAAAAACCACTTGCCTCTATGAATAGTCTTTGCATTCTTGTATGATGCTCCTCCAGGTGGCGGTGCGAGTCAGGGACAGCAATGATGCTAACCTCATGAGCGTCGATGACTTGCTGAATCGTTTCAAGAATGAAATAGCTTCCTTTCAGTAGGTAACCTGAACTTAAATTGCAGCTCTGATTTATTGTTGCAAAATTTGAAGAATTTGCAAAACAAATCAATACGCGTAGAGACGAAACTCATTTCAATTGTGTGACTTGAGGTATATACTAATTTATCTCTTCAACTCGGTTGTGCTGCTTTGAATGTGGATCGTTTTTGTTCCCCTACGCCTGACTTTGCATTTGTAGCATGAACTGCTCAGGTTGTTGATATTTTTGAGTTCTAATTTGAACAAATCCTAAAGGCTTTGAAATACGTTGTAATGCTTGAAATGGTCTCTTTCATTGTTGATTTGCAAGATGTGTACATTCCCTCAGGAGTTTTGAAATATATGGTTGCGTTTGGTACCATTGAGAATATATATAGCTGAATCTTCAATAACTAAACCTCTATTAATCCAACGCAGCATGACCCTATGGTCATAAATTTAACCCTCACACCAAAAATAGATATTTAATTTTTTACTCTTTCCGTCCATCTACAAAGTATATGTATTTCTATTTTGGGATGTCAATTTCAAAGTAACTATTTCATTAAATATTTCACTTTTTTCACAAATATTTTTACTTTATATCACATTATTATTTTTATATCAAAAAGTAAGGGGCAAAAATGTCGTTACACTATTTTACATATTCACTGTAATTAAAATACTACTCTTTTCGTTCCAGGTATCATGTTCATGTTGTCGTTTTTGTCTGTCCCATTTTTTTTTAAATGATTATAATTTAGAATTATTTATATTATAGAATAATTATTTTTTACTAATACATTCTTAATTATCTACTAATTACATTCCTCCTAAAATACCGTGTCTACAGTGTAGCAGACACGGTATTTGGGACGGAGGGAGTATTATTTATTAAACTCCGAATCAAAAGTAAATGTACTTAGGAAAAGAATTTTGGCGAATAGAAAAAGGCTACTTCCACATAGAGCTGTTAAACGAACCGAGCCGATTGAAGGCATTCAGGGGGTTATTAAAATTTTGGATTCGACCAACTCTGAAAAGCACACTATATTGAAAATTAATTAATCAATTGCAAGCAAAACCATTTCATAATAATAATAATAATAGTAATAATAACAATAACCTATTTATTTATTTATTTTGAATTTGGAACGTTACCTAATTCTGGGCAGCAAGTAAATTAATGTGAATATAGGAATTTTTAATTGACGTAACGTGACTAAGATCCAAGTTATTAATTTAATAAATTTTTGGCCAATGCATGTCCCCAAATAACTTATCCATTAAATAGTAACAAAATATATATATTCTTTAAAAAAAATCCGATTTGTCAAATAAATAAATAATTTAAAATTAAAAGAATTGTCAAATAAATTAAGTGTTCAATTAACTGACTCATAGTGAATTTCAACCAAACTACTATACCCATCAAACACATTTCCTTTTATTTATTTATTTATTTATTCATAATTTTGGATGATAATAAATTTAGATAAATAGTTTACCTTAGAATTCTATACTTATATACTATACCCATAAGCCTAATTTAAATATTAATTATTATATAAAAATATAGTATAAAATGACAAAAATTCATCAATTAGTGTCTTTAATATTATTATTACAATGACATTTGTGTGAATTTTTTTATAAATATAATAATATTTTTAATGTTAGCTAAAATGGAGCCAAAGATAAATGAGACCCTTAAAGTCGGACGAAATAAATATTAATTTTTAAATTGATGTAGAAATGGTTGGTGTGATTATTTGATTGCGATTGCAAATCGAAATCAATATTATTTATGTGTACGATTTTCAATAAAAATATGTTATTTTCTAATATAAAATATGATATCAAAATATATTATTTAAATAAAAATTCAAATCAATATTTTATTTTAAATTAATTTTAAATTACAACAAAAATGAATATATTGCTGAAGAAGAAAATTTGATTAATCCGTACACATTTCCTATGAGTAAAATTAAGGGTGTGTTTGTTCAGAGGGATTGGATTTTTTTTTTTTTCACTGTTCATTCAATTTTTTTTCCCAAAAAAATCAAATCAAACATCTATTTTTTATTTTTTTTATTATACTAAAAAATCAATTTTACATTCAAAACATCACATCAACACCTATTTATATTATATTATAAAACTATTCAAATTCAAAATTTTTACTATTCAAAATAAGAATTCTCAAAATCCAAACCTCCAAACAAACACACCGTAAAGCAAAGATTGATTCAAACACATGGGATGTGTTGGATTTCAATTTTAAATTAATGTCTAAATAATTTAGATTACAATCATTTCAGGTCAAATAGACACAATATTAGATTTTGACAACACATGTGCCAAATTGTTGATATTTTACTATCACTCTTATTTACATTACTTGCAATTAAAATAATGATGGTTCTGATTCGGGGTTTGGATTTTAAATTAAGATTTAAATAATAAAAATTTTGAATTTGAATAGTTGTACGATGAGATATAAATAGGTGTTATATTTTGAATGTAAAATTAATTTTTAGTATAATATAAAAAAATAATAGAATGAATAGTATATTTAAAAATCCAATCTCCAAACAAACATACTTAAAAACATTAAGGGTGTGTTTGTTTGTGGGTTTGGAGTTTTGGGTTTGGAGTTTTGGGTTTGGATTTTTAAATAGTAAAAAGTTTAATTTGAATAATTTTTTAGTGTGATATAAGTATATATTAATATGATATTTTGAATGTAAAATAATTTTTTTTAATATAATATAGAAAAGAAAAAGTAAATATTTGATTTGATATTTTTAAAGAGAAAGAAGAATCTCAATAGTACATTGTGATAAAATTCACGAAAAAACAAAAAATCGATTTTAAGTAAAAATACGCGCGTGTGTGTATATATATATATGTTCATTTTGAAATTAAACTCAATACTATTAATTTCAAAATTTATAATAAAAATATATTAATTTCTTTAAAATATATATATATATGTAGTATATTTAAACCAAATTCAAATCACAATTTGTTTAACTTTTTAATTTTTATTTTTATTTTATTATTTTTTTTTCAGACAGAGTGAAAATGTCTATACATAGAATTATTTAATTTACATTATATACAACTACAATCTACAATAACATTCAAGTAACATTTTCTTTTTATTTTAATTGCTCATCTTTTACACATTTTGTAACACTTATCAATAAAGTTAAAATTAAATTGTAAAGATTATTGTATTTAGATTTGAGAAATTCAATCATATGCTATAATTTAATTATTATAAAAAATATATATATATATATATAAACCGCTTATTTAAAATTAAAACAAAAAAGGTTTTTTTTTTTTTAAAAAAAGTAATTTCAATTTATATGTAATAGAATTGAAATCAAAATGGAAATTGAAAGCTATTAGACTAAAAGGTATATCATATTATTTGAATTTTATATTATTTTCAAATTTAAGTAAAATAATAATAAATAAATAAATTTAAAATATAATAAAATAAAATAAAATGCGTGGAATTAATTAACAGGACAACACTCCTTACTTACAGTAACAACAACGCAATACGAAGACCGCTAACTTTGGCGGGTCCTTCCCTCCTTCCTCCACCACCATCGCCATAGGCCACCTTATTCACATGGGTATATATATATATATGAAAATGTAAATATCTATTATGTATATACTATCTCCGTTTCAGAACTATAGTCTTAATTGGGTTGGACACGAGATTTAAGGGATATTGATATTATATTGACAGTCGATAAAAGATATATATAAAAGACTTTTTTGTATATTAGTGTAAAAAGTAGTGGCAATTGTGTAATAAAAATGAAAAAAAATAGTTTTATGATGATACGATTATTTATCGAAATAAGATTATTATTTAGGAACAGACGAAAATAGTGAACAAGAGTGTTGTATTGAGATGTAGGGAGCATTTATTTTTAGGCCAAATTATTTATACATATCATTTGAAAATTATATGAAATTCTATTTTATTTTTAAAAATATAGTACAAAATATTGTTTTGGAAGATTTTATGTAATATTTTTTAAAATTATATTTTTGTATATAATTTAAATTATAAAAAAATTATGATATCAACTTTTTAAATTACGAACGAAGTTGCGGATTTTGTGCTGCTACGACCAAATTATCGTGAGATTTATTTGACCGAATTAACACATATCATATAATCAACGGGTGATCCATTTCCAAATTTTATACTCTCTTCGTCCAAAAATTATAGTTTGAGTTGTATTTGACACGAGATTTAAGAAATATTAATATTATATTAGTAGTGGATAAAAAGTACGGATAAAAAACTTTTTTGCCCTTGTGAGAGTATTAGTGTAAAAAATAATGGTAATTGTGTAATAATAATAAAAAAGTAAAGGTAATTTTATAGTGATATAATTATTTATGAAAATAAAATTATTATTTTCGAGACCAGACAAAAATGATAAATTGTATTGTATTAAAAAAGAGAGAGTACAATATTGCCTTTTTATTATTATTGTTATTATTATTATTAGTAAAATAGATAAATATGTATATAGAGATGAGAGGGGGTGTGTCACGTGTGTACAGGGGAGCAAGTTGCTATGGGAAAAGAGAGCTGGCCAGCCTTGACTCATGCCCACCATTCTTATTCATTCACCAACGTCACCAAAAGTCAAACAAACAACTCCTTATTATATTCTCTCTCTCTCTCCTAAATAAATAAATAAATAATCACGAAAATAATAATTTGATAGTGTGAGAAATAAATTTGCGATTATAAAGTTATTGGTTCAAATCGGACGTCTTCAAATTTATTTGACTTGTCGAACTTAGTTTGTAGAATATTAAATTCGATCGAAAACTTATCCAAAGCGTGGTTGAATAGTGAATGAGAGTTTTCACCTTAATTAAAAAAAAAACCCAAATAAACAAACAATTCTTTTTAATTTCTCCGTTTCATTGATAGGTTACTAATTTTTATTTTTTATCATCTTATCATTTTTTAATTGTACTACTTTCTTAACTTATACAATATTACACAAATATCATTAAAAATATTTTTTTATTTTTCATTACAAACTATTATAATATTAATATTTAAAAATTACTTGAGCAAAAAATAATCGGAAATTTCTCATCTCAGTTATCTATATACATGTACTACTGCAACACCCTCTCTCTTTCTCTACCTCTTTCTCTCTCTCTCTCCTATAGTATTATTCAATCCGTTCACACTCTGTGCGCGTAGAATTTGTCGGAATTGGTGCGAGAGAGAGAGAGAGAGAGAGAGAGAGAGAGGTGGTTTTGAATTTCCATAATTAACAAAAATAATAATAACAACAAGGTTAGTAAAAGGTGGCTCCAATTTTGGGGTGGGGAGCAAAGGGCAAAGGGCGATGGGTTCTTGTTGCAGCGTTGTTCAAATTAGGGCAGATCACAGCCCTCGCCCAGATGGTAATATTACTATTCTGTAGCAACACTTGCCTGTCTGATTAATTAGTTTTGGGAACTGATTCTGGAAATTCTTATTCCTTCTATCAACTGTTTTGCACTTTCGATTCAATCGATTGTTATTACCTTAGTATCGAGAATGCTCATTCGATTCTGGAAATTTTGATTTGGAATCCTTTCTAATCGATTTTGAATGCTGCGGCGGCGGCGGCGGCGGTGGTGGCGCGTGTGCAGGAGTGAGCTCAAGATTTGTGAGCACGGAGGCGAGCAGCCGCCGGTCGTCTTCCTCGGCTCCTCTGACTCCCCGGAGCTACGGCGAGATTCTGGATTCCGGCAACCTAAAAACATTCGGGTACAATGACCTCAAGATCGCGACAAGGAATTTCCGTCCGGACAGCGTGTTGGGCGAAGGCGGCTTCGGCTGCGTCTTCAAGGGGTGGATCGATGAGCAGACATTTAAGGCGGCCAAGCCCGGCACGGGCGTCGTCATTGCCGCCAAGAGATTGAACCAAGACGGCATCCAGGGACACAAGGAATGGCTTGTAAGATCCAAACAACTTCAATTCAATTCAATTCAATTATATGTGCTCAATGAAACAATATTTTATTGGTTAATGTAATTGGACGATAGGTTTTGACATATTTGACAAGTTTGTAAGTTATGTAAAGTTGAGTTATTTTGGTATTAGCGAACGATTATTTTTACTAAAGTAAATATTTGATAGTTTGAGGTAGGACAGACGGAAATGATAAAAATATTACTTTAAAAAGGAGTGTTAAATTTGTATTATATTAATTATATGTTTGTTGTAATTTTCTTGTAACTTCATTTTCAGACAGAGATCAATTATCTCGGGCAGCTCTCGCATCCGAACCTAGTGAAGTTGATTGGATACTGTCTGGAGGACGAGCACCGGCTGCTTGTCTACGAGTTCATGCCCCGGGGCAGCTTGGAGAATCACTTGTTTCGGCGTAAGTTAGTTGATGGAGTGTTTTTTTTTTTTTTTTTCAACTGGCTTGCTACTAGCCTATGTTTAATTGTGCCGTTTTCTTACAAGTACTCGATTCACTGATTCGGACAGGGGCATCTTATGTCCAGCCATTGTCTTGGAACCTTCGGATGAAGGTGGCGCTCGATGCAGCAAAGGGACTTGCTTACCTCCACGGCCCCAAAGCCAAAGTTATCTACAGAGATTTAAAGGCTTCCAATATATTGCTCGATACGGTATGTCAGAAAATTACTTTCCTAAGTTTTGGACTAGGTAAATAATAAAATGAGATATTATGAGAAATTTACTAATGAATAAATAGTGTGACAAAAAGAAAAAAGGGAATGGTTAGCACATGTTTTTATTTCACTCAGTAATCAACTATTGCATGCAATGTGGGAGACTATATAATGTTGTCTGTAGTAATATCTGTGTTCTGGATTTTATATTTTCATGAGACTAACTCCACTGCGGTGTAATTATGTTCAGAATTTCACGGCGAAGCTGTCTGATTTCGGGTTGGCAAAGGACGGACCCATCGACGGTAAAAGCCATGTCTCGACCAGAGTCATGGGTACTTACGGTTACGCCGCCCCCGAATACATGGCCACGGGTACGCACACTTACATTCTATCGATCGTTCTACTACCGGTGTGTTCGTTTCAAAATTTTCAACCAAATTTCACTATTCATCCAAATTTTTCTTCCAAAAAATATCAAATCAAACACCTATTTTTCATTTTCATATTATACTAACATTACATCAATTTTATATCACATCATTCAACTATTCTAATTCAAAACTTTTACTCCCTCAGTCCTATCTACCATGTCTACTTTTCTATCTCTGCCTGTCCGCTTATTCCGTCACTTTCTTTTTTTTGAAAAGAATCCTACACTTTAATTTCGTTTTAAATTTTTTAATTTATATATTTTTTAAAATTTTAATTAGAATAATTAGTTATAATTTTACTATATGATTATTTTCACTAATACATTCTTAATTATTTTCGTGTCTACAATAAAAAGGCACAATAGCCGAGACGGAGCTGAGTACTATTTAAATCCCAACTCAACATTCAAACTCCCAAAACAAATACACTAGACGAGCATTATTATCCTTTGGGTAGTACTCGACTCATCGCTTTTCGTTCGTTTACATTTCGTTTAGGCCATCTGACGGTGAGAAGCGACGTGTACAGCTTCGGAGTTGTGTTATTGGAGATGCTGACGGGGCGGCGGGTGCTGGACAAGAACCGGCCCCACGGAGAGCAGAATCTGATCGACTGGGCGAGGCCGTATTTGGCGAGCAAACGGGGCGTGCTTCGAGTGATGGATCCCCGGCTCGAAGGGCAGTTCTCGACGAGCGGGGCCTTGCGCGCGGCGACGCTCGCCGTGAAGTGTTTGGCAATCGAAGCCAAGTATCGGCCGACGATGGACGAGGTCGTGAAGGCGTTGGAACGGGTGGCGGAGACGGGCGGCGGAGAAGCGGCGGCGCAGCGGCACCGGCGGACGGGAAATGAGGATGGCGGGAACCGGGTGGCGTCTTATCCGCGGCCATCTGTTGAGTGAATATATATATATATATATATGTATGTATGTGTAAGGATGTGTATGTATGTTTGAATTGATGTGTATATAGAGCAGAGGGAGTAATTCTTTGAGAAGTGAAACCTAAATGGTGATTGCGAGAGGTTAAATATGAATTTGGCTGATGGCTTTGGTTTTAACTTTCAATTGCTTTTTTTTTGTGGGCAATTAATAAATGAAGGCTGCTTCGCTTTTATTTTTTAATTTTTAATATATACATTCTCCATCATGTAAAATTATGATTTGGGTAAAAAGTAATTTTTTTTTATTATTATAGTAAAAAAAAAATGATATTTTGAGTAAACAAAAGAATAAATTTGAATTACATGAATGAGAACCAAACACACATACAAAAGTTGTAAGGAATGTATGATAACAGGGGTGAATATAAATTCAAACTACCAATATCTCTAAGTCATCCGGTTTTAAATATTCTTTCATTTTGCATTATATTTAATATTAAAAATATTTTTTATATATTTTTTTTACAAATGTTTTTCTATTGATATTACAAGGCACTAATAAAAATATTTTTTTATTTATATTATATGTTTTGATATAATAATTAATATTCAAATATCAACGTCCAAAAATAAATAAAACTTAGAAGCCAGAGGAAAGTAGTATAATTTATTACATTTTTCAAAAAATAACAAAAGAATCTAAAATAATAATAAAAAAATTATTACAATCATACCAACTAAAATACTATTCCAAAATTAAAAGTAACAATTAAATTTAGAGGAAGGGAGGATTATTGAGGTTTGATACTTTTATCTAATTACAAAAATAATTAATAATTTAATACAAAATATTATAATTTATATTACCAATATAATTCTTTCGTATCTACGGTAATTCAAAAATGTAAAGTCAAATCCATAATTTTCTTTTGTTTATGTAAATTTAATCTAAGAAGAGGGGGCTCATGTAATTAATTAATATTAATTGGGCATCTCCATGGAGATGATGATGTCCAATTAGTTTGAAGAGTATGCTGTGTGTTGGTTCGGTGAATCCGTCCCCAGTTCTAACACGTGTTTTATTTTTTTAACACGTTTTTGTTCTGCTGCATCTTCGGGGCAATAGCACAGTAGTGGTGGGTGGGCCAATGGCTATCATTAATCTTACCATGAATGGACGATGCATTACTTGTACTTGTTTGGGACGTATTTATTTTATTTAATTATTACTCCCTCCGTCCCATATATCGTACATTGTAAACTGTATTTTAAAAGGGATGTAATTAGTAAATAATTAAAAATATATTAGTAAAAATAATTATATTGTAATATAAATAATTATAAATTAAGATTAAGATAACTAATTAGTTTAATTAAAATAAAAAAAATTAAAAAATTAAAAAATTTAAAATTTAAAATGAGATTAAAGTGTGTAATCATTTTAAAAAAAAGGAAAGTGACATGGTACGTGGGACGGACAGAAACGGCAACGTGGAAATGATATCTGGGACGGATGGAGTATTATTATTTTATGGCAAACCATCATCGGCTGAAAATTTATCCAATATACACTTTCAGATAGAAATAACAGATTTTTACCGTTAAAAAAAAAAAAAAAAACATGGTGGCTTACTAAAATACACATAAATTTTTAATTTCCCCCAAATGCTTAAAGGTTTAACATATGATAAGACATCATTTTTCGCCTTCTCAAAAACAAAATTTCATCCAATATGAAAATTTGTTTTTTCTTATTATATACACACTATAAATACAATAATTCACATTTATTATCTACCCCAGCACATAAATGGAATCAACGACAAACAGTAAAAAAATAAAAATGATCATCTAACCAACTCACATATTGTCCAATTTGTGTTACAAAAACCAATTGTTGGAACATTATTTCTTCCATCTATTTTTGGCATATAGTTCTTCGTCCTTTTTGCTGTTGCCTTTCACAAATTTTTATTTGTAGTAAAGTGTCTTGTCTAATTGCTGCATCAACCTGTCTGCAGCCTGTTGGTTCTTCTCTCTCGATTTGGGGAAGCAAAGAAAAGACAAAAGAAGATGCTTTGAGTTAGTCAACTTAACATAGATTTCATGCAGACACATCATTTCATTTATGTACAAAGGTTTTAATTGGTTCTGTCTTACATGCACAACAATGTGACTTTATGGATAATTGGTTGTTGTGAGGGTTTTGAGAGTGGAGTATGAGAGAAAGTTCGAAGGAAAGAGAAATTGGAGTTCCAATCAGGGGATACGTCGAGATTCTGAGCAGCACAAGTTTGTGACAACATAAGCCTGTGGAGGGAATTTTCAAGGTAAACTATGGTAGGAGGTTGAGTTGAAGGAGTTGTGGTTGTTTTATTCTTAATAAGCACTGATTAGTGAACTTCTCATGGATTGGTATCATTTGGATGTAGGATTGTTTATATCCGAACCGGGTAAACAAACCCTTGTCTCATTTACTGCTTTGTATTTCCGCATGCATTCAATTGGCAGTATAATGTTATAACTGTGATAACTGCTCTTTGAAAGTTGGTCGTGTTCGAAGGTGATTTGGTGCCGCACCTATTCTCCCAACATCAATTAATGAAAAAATAGCACATTGAAAGATAACATAAACAACTACACATTTCAGAGTCATTATTAAATATTTTTTTATTATAGAAGACAAAAAAATAACAATTATTACTTATTTTTATTAAAATTCATGTCCAAATATTTGAACACACAATTAAATGACAAAAGAAATATATAATATAAAAAATAGTTTAAGCAATCGATATTATTAGTGGCGTTGAATCTATGTTAGTCAAATGATCGCAATGTGTTTCGTTGAGTTTTAACCGTGTGCACTCATAGGCAGAATTACCTTTCAACAAACGGTTAAAAATAAGGTGGCCGGGGGATTTGTTTGTCCGTATCCACCGTATACAACAACGAAAGAAATCTAATTAGTAATGCTCCTTCATTCATGCAAATCTTATGATCTTCGGATATGATATGCATCTTATCTTGTGTCTGTTTGTTTGTTTGTTGTGTTTAGAGGAATTCTGTGTTATGTTGCTTTCGTTGGTTGATGATGATCTTATTGATACAATAAATTTGTATTGTGATCTTAACATTAGAGTTCCTTAATAGATTTTTGAAAAGAAATTTACATGTCTATCAATTAATTTAAAATATATTCAATCAACTGAATGGTATCAATGGTATTTGGTTAAACATCAGCTTAATTCAACTCAATTCCGAAGTATTACAATTATTTTAATAAATGATAAAAACCGTCCAAGAAATTTGTTATGTAGTACAATAAAGGTATATAAACATCATAATTTATTATAAAACTCATAGAAATATATCTGGGACATTTTCGTTACATAAGCCGTTACTTTAAATAATTACATAAAGTTGTTTGTAGTTTTTTCTGCAAATATTACTTACGGAATAGTCAAAGCAAAAAGTTGTGACATAAATTTGTCACGAAATTACTTTCCGTGATTTTTAATTGTCACGGATTAAAATTTGCGACAAATTTCAGCAATTATCAACATTTTTTCAAGTAGTGTATATATATAATACACATGCAAAAGAAATAAATATTCAATACCATAAGTATATAGATGGATCCATCAAATCAAATCAAATAAAATAAGAACAAATTGAAATAAACAAATACAAATGAATTTATATTATAGTAACTCAAAATGAGACGCCAGGGTGGATTAATTTTGTCAACATAGATGTATGAACAAGTCTAGTCTTGTCTGGTCTAATGTTATGTATTACAACTTACAAGTTGAATAATAGTCTTGGTTGATATATTCAAAGTTATTATTTAATAAATGCATTAGTCAAGGTCGTTGCCCTCTTCCTCTATGTATGTATGTATGTATGTATATATACACATCATTATTCATATTCTTCTTCGACAAACAAACCAATCTATTTCATTTCTTGCTCCTGTATAATTATTCTTAGCTTCTTTTTGTCCAATAATTAAATACTATTATACTACTACTACTACTACTTCATTGTTTCTAATCTATGGCTTTGGGAACACTTGAGGTGACTTTGCTGGGCGCCAGAGGCCTCACAAGAACCGATCTCTTGGGTATGTTTTATTTTATTTTATTTATAATAATAATAATAATAATAATAATAATAATGGTGTGTGTCTGTGTGTGTAATATTGATTGATTGATTGATTAATTGTGCAGGGAAGATAGAGCCTTACGTAGTGATGGAATACAGGAAGCAACAGCATACAAGCTCCATTGCCAAAGGCACAGCTCCCCTCTGGAACCAGAAATTCAGATTCACTGTTGAACATGAAGAAGATGAACATGAAGAAGATGTCGCCAAATCCCAAAACACGCTTTCCCTTATCCTTATGGATTATGACACTTTTACTCAAGACGACTCTCTTGGACAAACTACGTATGTAACTTAATTACCAACTACTCTCATAAATTAAATTACATTATTGAAATCTTTAATGTTATGATTTTGGTGCAGCATACATTTGGGAGAAGCAATTCAAAGAGGAGTGGAGAATGGGAAGGCTGAGATTGGGTCGCACAAGTACAGAGTTGTTGCGAAGGATGGGACTTATTGTGGCGAACTTCATGTAGCCATTACTTTCACTCGAAAGGTACATATATAAAAATATAACAGACAACATAATTAAAATAAAAAATAAAAAATTAATTGTTATATATATATATATATATATGTGGCGGCGGCTACTGTGTTGAACTTTAAAATTCAGCACCATACTGGTCAAACAACACACGATATTGCTACAGGCAGCACAACGTATGCATTCATATAATACAAATACAACACATGAATTAACAACGCATGCTATAGTCTTGTACAACATAAACAATATTTGATTTCAGCACACCACATATTATTATACAACACATTTGTAATTATAAACCAACGACACATAAACTAATAGTACATGCTATAGTCCTACAAAATATAAATAATAGTTGATTTCAGCATAACATATACTGTTATACAACACACTTATAACACTTATAATTATAAACCAACAGTACATGTCTTTATTATACACAACATGTGTTGTGTATAATAAAACTGTGTGCTATTTGTATATATTACGGGTGCTGATTTTTTCAATTCCGCACCTTAATTGTTCCAATATATATATATATATATATATCGTACATATGTATTTCTGATTGAACTTCCCTTTTTATTGTTCTTTTTGGTGCAGAAAGAATCCAAGGAACACTATTTTGGGGGTTGGAAGCAAAGCCAGTCACAGTTTTAATTCATTTCACTCTACTTTGTAGCTTTTCAGCATCAGAATTATCTCTAAAAATTCATTTCATTTCATTTCATTAATTCATGTTCTTTCTATGAAACAAAATGTTAAAAATGTACTACTAAATGTAACACATTATTGTCAGTCAATCAAAAAATACACATTCCTTCATCTTGTCTCAAACCATTTTCTTTCTCTGTGTAAACAAAACTGTTCTCAAAATAAGGTCGGAAAGGGCAGCAAGAAAAGGAGCATCATACTCCATGGATGAGTACCATACAGATCATGGTGTCGGCTCAGCCAAGAAATTCACGATGCGGTTTAACAGATTTAAGCCGAAAACAGTTTCCTCACAGTTCATTTTAACTGATACTTCGAGGGGTTCAGAGCAAATACCTTTGAGAGTAAGTGTGACCAAACAAGGAATGGATCTGCCCAGGATCTCGCCACTTAAGCGTAAGCATAATCCTGATGTGTCGTTGAGGGTAGCTGCAACAGGCAAGTCTACGGATACGAGAAACAAATTCGCATTTGTAAGCATTTTTAGTGTCAGCTTCTCACATATCATTAGAAAAATGTCTTTAACCGGTGACTCGCCATTCGAGTCATTCAGCGGGCCAATATGGTCGGTGAATGTACACCTGTTGAATACAACAAGAAAATGCAATGTGAGCGAACAGTTCTTGCGAAAATGAAACCATGTTGGATTGGGACCTGACCTTCTCACGTATTCAAACATCCCCGGAAGTTGAGATTCCTTCTTTGTGAAGGATTCAATATCCATTGGAAGAGGTTTGATGAAGTAACCAATGTCTGGTCGAAACTTTACTAGTTGCTTTTTGTCGTTGCACCATAAAGCCAGCTTCAAAGGCAACAGATGGTGTTCAAACCGAACCTGGATTGTCCTATTTTCTGTCTGACCGGGTTCAAGGCAGCTTATCTCTTCCATGGGAACGAGAGATGGAACCTCACGAGTCACATTTGAACTGTAGATCAAGATTACAAAGCACCACAATGAATATGTTTGGAGACCTCTCAAGAAATTATAAGAATGTGGAAAGGTGAACTTAAATTTTACCAATAAATCAATAGAAGTGCAATATCACATCTATGAACAGAAACTAATGTCTTTGTTTTAGCAACAAAGAGGAGTCGGGCATAAACCTAGGATTCAAAAGTTGGTGACCAAACAGAGGGTGTCCAGCCTTGAGGTTCCAAGCACATTAAGGGTGTGTTTGTTTGGAGAATTCTTCCCAAATTTTACTATACATCAAAATTTTTTTCTCCAAAAACATCAAATCAAACACCTATTTTTCATTTTTTATATTTTACTTAAAATCAATTTTACATTCAAAATATCACATCAACACCTATTTATATCGCATCATACAACTATTCCAATTCAAAATTTTTACTATTCAAATCCCAATTCAAAATCCAAACCTCCAAACAAACAGCTTGTCAATAAAACCCTTGGGTGTCAAAATATATAAGGTTCAGATGTGTATACACATGTGTAAATGGCAGAATAGATATAAATAAACCAGCTTTATTGACAACAGAGATGTTGAAGCTTTAGCATAAAATACCTTTCACTTGGTGACACTGACTTGTCTGAAGAATCCAGGTTAACGTCCTCTTCAGAAAGCATTATATTTGACATCGTCCCTGTTGAAGAATTTCTGAAGGCAACATCCAAAACTACAAGTTCGGGGGATATATTTGACACCTTGGACAAAAATCTATAATCCACACCTAACCCATTTCCATTTGCAGGATCTAGAAGAATATATGACTTGGGTTTGACCAGCTGCCCGATGTCTTTAATGGAGAGTCTGGCTAATGATCTCTGAACATGACCTGCATCAGAAGAGGTCTGGCTAGAACCAGGATTTTCATTCAACCATGATTCAAGGGCTCTTTTCGACATCAATTCACCAAAATCCATCAAGCCAGATGACGGCAGGCCTTCTGAGGCTTCTAGATGATTTCTAGAAGTGGGAGCACTATCTGAAAGATGAATCAATGCACCAGCTTCTTCATCTCCATTTCTATCAGAGACATTATCAGTATAGTGGCCTCCATCGGTACTTGATCCAGAAACAGAATCTTCAGAATCGTAGTCGGATGTGTTCTCTTCATCCATGGATCCCGAAGTGGCATCAGTATCAACATCATTTGGTTCACTATCAGTAGTTCTAACTCCCAATGAACTTGTTCCTCTCACAGAGGGATCGAACCCATCACCCACTAAACTACAAGGTTCAGGGAGAGGTTCATATCCTGGAGCTGCGTGCAGCACTATCTGGGAAAGAGAGCCAGGAAGATAGAATCGATAACTAAATGGCTCAGATGAAATTTCTGCTTGCCCCCCAAATATGTATTCGGAAAGTACACGTGTCAGGTCTTTGAAATCCGTTTGATCCTCAACATATTCCGAATCATGCAAACCCCTACAGTGTGATAGGAAATTCTTCAGAACACGAGCACGGTCGCGGACATCATAATTCATGTCACATTTAGCTAGTGCAAGCACATATCCTACAGTAATTCGTAATTCAGACACATCTTCCCCTTTAGCTCGTAGTAGGACCTGGAAAGCATCAAAACAGCAAAAAAATTAACAAAGAAAGAAGCCATGGCGGATAAAGCATCGCAAGTTATTAAGACATTTCTTATCCAGTATTTCAACAAAATAACTCTTTAGTTTTATCTTCATTTCATAAAAAAGAAATAATAAAAGATGAAAATGGCCCTAAGAATGGTTTTAATGGTAAGTAGCTCTCAGGGTTCTGCTTTATCAGTCTGTCTATGTTTTTCTGTGTGATTCTATCCAGGATGTAATATAATGCTACTCCTTTATTGTATATATTCTTCTTTCCAAAATTTTAAAATTAATATGAAGTAGAACCATAATATCACATTTTTCTAATGCTATGCAGGCAAAGACTATCCTAGTAGACCAGAAAGCAGTTGTAAAAGGCTCATCTCTCAATAAACTTTCATGCATCACTGAGCCTTTTCTATTCCATATATGAGCCTATAATAAACACTACCCTGCACAAATAAGACGGAAAGGCTAAATGAAGGGCGTATATATTATGAAAATTGAAAATTTGCATTGTCTTGATCATCAAAATATGGAGGTCTATCTAAACTCTAATTAGCTCTAAAACAAGCTTGGATTGTATGACTTGTACACTCCAGTTTGAGGGGGAGTGTTAGATTTGATAGATTCACATCCATACCCATATCCATATCCATGATTTAGTTTGTTTGGATAGATTTCGAAATATCTCTATAAATATGTATTCTTCCATTCTCTTTTATGATGGAATGAAATAATGTTTTTCCTCTATTTGCCAGCAATTTGCACTTTCACAGTCATTTGGAGCTTAATTATATTATTAACAAACAGGTTTTCTTAAATATATTCATAAAATCGTTCTCAAGGATGCATGAAGCATTGATAGTAAAAATCCATAACACCACCACTGCAGATGCACATGAAGATGCTGAATGATAAAGAGAACCTCAAAACTTGGAATGTTAACTACCTTGACACAGGCATTGATAATCTGGAGTTTTGATTCGACTGCCTCAGAAGTAAAATGCCGAGCAATATACTTAAAGACTGTGGGTATCATCTTTGGAATAAGACCTCCGATGTTGCAGTACTCACCCATCATCCATATAACCATAGCACGTGCCGCGGGTGCATAAATTGAATCCAAGCTTCGCAACAAATGAACAATTACCTTGAAAGTATGAGCGAGTTCAATTAGAACAGAACTGTTTATTTATCGGAGCATTACTAGCAAAGTCAGAAGTCATTGGATGGCGCATTAACCACCAACAGATAATCCAGAATTCAGCTATCAATTACATGGTAAGATAGTACATAAAAACAGTGAACAAATACAATAATGAAACAATAAACACACTCATCTATTTCTGTACCAGATGATATATGTGGCTGAGCATCATTGTGTCGGCGTGGAAGAGTGTAAGGCTGAACTCAAAGAGTATAAGTCGAGTTTAAACAAAGTAAATGAGCAAGTAAAGACTCTGTAGCATGAAATGTGAACCACCATTATAGTGAATGAACCCTCCCTTTTTTGACACCTTAAGTGTCAATTTCGTCTGTTATACTTAAAAAGCTTTAGAAAGTTGAAAGTGCCTAACTTTAACTTATTTCTTTCAGGCTGTTATAACAGACAATTTTTTCCCTTTACTTTTTTATTTTTTAGCTTAAAAATAATTCCATGTTATAATAACAGATGAATTAAAAATTGATTGATTGAGAATATAATATAGAAGAAAGTCTAAGATAGTACATAAAAGCAGTGAACAAAAGGAGCAAATTGATTATTCTCAAACATCAATTTACATTGGTGATGAGACAATAATAACAAGAATAATGAAAAAATGGTCAAGAACAATGGGTTTAGCAAACTTACTTTCTCGTGATTGGGAGGATCTTGTTTTATGATTGCTTTGATAGACTTTATAATTTGAACCAATACAATTTCTTCTTCACCCAGTGAGGCATCATCCTTATTTGAAGAATCTGAAATTTGGATTCCATTAAAGATATTCATTAATCAAACAAAAGGAAGGCAGGAGAAAACGGAAGAAACTACAGAGATTCAAGTCCTCCAAGGATATATAACATGAGAAATATAAACCTTACCAGATAATGCCAGAAACAATAGCCCTTCCAAACATGTGTTGGCAACATTTGGAAGTCTTTTGGCACATAAACCAATTGCAGCTGCTGTGTCAGCAGCAAATTTACGATCTGGATCTCTGATATAATCCTGATTGTTATTTAACAAAATAAATAATACTGAAGATCTCAAAGATGCCAACAGAGCCTAGGACCAATTTTTGTTGTAAACAAAACATGGATTGCACTGAGAAATTCTAACAGGACAAGAAAACCAAAAATGATAATGGAATGAAACAACTGCAGAATAATAAATTAACTCGCTACAGCAAGTTGATCTAAACTTAGTAATGACAATAGAAGCTAACATATTTCATTGGTAAATAATGTAAACATATGAAGCATATACAGTCTCAGAGCGTCTAGAAACAAACAGAACAGGCAAACTGGAATGGTAATTTGGTTTGAAAACTAGATGATGTTAAAAAAAAAATCTTTAATCTATGACAAAATGTAACAAGGTTCATTGGCTTGACAAAACAAGACCTCACACATTTTTCTAATGTTAACTGACATTTGTTTCGCAAGCTAATATACTATTTACTTAAATCAAAATTGAAAACCTTAGTTAGCATGACAAAATACTGATGATATCACAGTATATACAAGCATTGATAATCCCTGATAATTAAGATTTACACGGAACAACAGGCCTGATAGATTTGTTTCTTTCGATAAAAATGTTAAATTTATTCACCTTTGAGAAATTTATATAACAACCAGTTACACCAAAATGAACACAGGCAACATCCATCAAGCCTTCAATTTTGCCCTGTTCACTTTTTCCATGCTCAACTCCATTCTCTTATGTATATTTTTTTCTCAGCTCCTATGGACCTACACAAACCACTTAATTTTTTTCGCAACTCCTATGGATGTACACTAGCCACCTAATCTTTTCTGTTTCATTTTTCTTCGAAATTCCTGTGACCAAAAATCTTCTTATCAATAAATAGTCCAGGAATCCCTATCTTCTTCCTGTTTAATGTCCTCCCCCCTTTTACATCAGCCTTTCCTCCATTTTCAATTCCAATTTGCACAGGGAAGGAGCTGCTTCATGCAAAAACATTTAAAACTTTTCTAGAACCACTATTGACCCAAATAACCACTGGATGAAATGTTTAATTCAATGGACGTGCCAGGAAAGCATCACATGGCAGTCTAGTGAGGATTCTTTACCATTGCATATATTGTGCTTGAATACCTCATTGCCAAGGCCCAAATCTACTCATTGAAGAGTTTTAGAATAAAAGAGACATATAGGTGAAACAAATAATAAAATTAAAGTACCTGAAACTCAAGAAGAATTGAGGAAATAGAAGAGTCTGTAGCTATAGAGGAAAGTATCTCAAGCTTCAGAGTTTTAAGTTGATATGAATCTGAACAGTTAATGAAGAAATCTTCAAAATATGGAGAAAATAGATATGGCATTGCTTTAGCAAAGACTTGAATGTTGCACAAGACCTGCACATGGAAAGATGCAGCCTAAATCACCGAAAGAAGATGAGGAAATTTATACAACTTCAATACAATGTGGCATCATTATTTGCAAGAAGTGAGATTGATCCACATCTTAAAAAAGACATTTATTCAGCAGCTATTACAGCAGTGCAACCTAGCAAATATTTAAACATAAAGCACCATATCCCCCTGATAAAATTAAGAAAATTCAGCAAATATCACAAAAGGTACAGTAATTTTCTTAACAGGTTAATTGCTTGACAACAAAGTTCTATACGTCAGAAATCATCACGATAGCAGGGAATAAGAGCACAAATACATGTGAAAGACCACAGAGAAGTAATGCATCAATGTTCATTACACCAAATTCATAACAGCTATCAAGAGAACCCAAAAGTATTGTATAATCACAAAATAAGAACAAAATAAATGGGATCAAGAGAAAGTTCTGCAGTTATAATTACTTAGACTAAGTCAAAGAATAAAGAGGCAAGTACCACATATTTTGAGGAGTAAGATGACCTCAACAAAAATAGCAGAGGCTTAACAATTTTTCGAATGTCCTCCTTCGGAGCCATAATCCAATGAATCCCAGCAGCTGCCAGCACAACTGCACTATTAGAACTCCATAGCAATGGTGATGTACACTGCAACAAGATCTTCACATCATCGTTACTTTTAGCAGATGTAGCATGTGAATAATCCAATCCCAAAGACTCTCTATTCACAAGACCCAACTGAGATAGGTACTTATCTGGTCCTTGAAGGTAACTGCGGGATACTATATCTGCAATCTCAGTGCATAAATCAAATCTTGTTCCATTATGAGGTTTATTTATTTCATTATGAGGTTCCAAACCCTCCTTTTCAGAGTTATGCTTCATCAGAGCATTGGAAACTAACATTAGGGATTCTACTACTAGCCCATGTTTTGCAATTACATATCGTAGAAGAATTCCAATCAAAACAATTTGACTCCATTCTTCCACATCAGGAACAGTTTCACATAACCTTCTGTAATTTCTTCCAATCATAGAGAAGTTATTAGGACAAATAGAAGCAAAGGCAGCAGCAGCAGCACCAACCACACTAGGAGAGTTGTCCTTCAACAATATTCCAATAAGCTGCAACACAGTTATGTTCCATTAGCTAAATAAAATGTAAAAGAATATGCAAAAGAGAATATTTCACGTAATGGGAATGAAACATGATATGAAAAAATAAATCATACTTCATCATGCCCATTATAATAGAAGTCCATACAGTACCCTACCATCCTCATGAAATAAGAAAACCCAGAATTCTAGACAGGGTGAGAGATAGATGATGCAGACAATTAGGATATTGGTTTATTCTGTAATTCACATATTTAGCTTGAACTCAATCACTTGTGCCCTAATCTCTTGTTAAATAGCTTATTGCAATGTTTAGTCAAAAAAGTTCCTTACCTCCATATGGCAACAAGCACACAAATCTATTGAAAAAGTTAAATAAAGCAAAGTAGGATTTGTTCACTTGTGATTTCTACCCAAATCTCCCTCCAAAATCATTATATCAAACCAACACCCATTTTCCATTGAAAAAATAACATTCAACAACTATTTCACCTCAAAAACAACAAAATAAGAAAACACAAGTAAGCAAATTGTAGTATAAACATATTATACTAGAGTTTCAATGAGATAATAAACCAAAGTTGGTTTAGAATTTTAAGTATTTCAACAGATCTATAGACTATAGATCAATGTATATTGGACACAATCTTTAAGACATTTCTTGAGTTGGGTTTCAGTTATTCTTCTTCAAAACATATTTGAATGAACATTAGGGTGATAAATCAACAGAATTTGACATTTGGAACTGATGGCGCGGATCAGACAGGATAAACAATTCCCACCCGGGATTAGCAATAGCCTAGTGCCAATTCTTTCATAGGATTAATCAGGCAACAATATTCTCATATTTAGTTTCATTGCAATATGACACACAATTATGGTGGCTATTCGTTTCTCATTCTATACAGACAGATGTAAAAGGAGTTCCCAACACAAGCTATGGCTCACACATTTTTTTCCCTAACACACACGCCAATTGAAAACAGCGATGCCCCAAAGGCTAGCAAACAAATTTCTTTCCAAGCAATTCTCTCAATTAACTGTTTGCTGCCAAACTATTACATTTTTTTCCAGAATCTGCTTCTCGTCACGTTTTTGGAAGATTTCTTGGTATGTGTTGGAAGGTAAGATTCATTAGTTAGCAAATTATTTTATGCTACAAGGAATTAGCAAGCAAAAAATGCAATCAATACTGAAGCATGACCAAACGATCCTCCAATATTTTTTGTTGGATTAGATCCATAGTAGGTAAAACAGTCGTCTCTGTTTGTAGCCTTAGGAGCCTTTTAGAAGGTTTCTATCATCTTCTATGTTACATGTTCATATATTACAACTTACTATTTATCTCACATGTTACGAATTTTATTTTGTGTAAGCACACACATATAAAACCTTGCTAAAACCATTTGTAGCATCATGTTTTTCAGCAGATGAAGATACCATTTTTTTTTTTTTTTTTACTTACCTATAGTGTTATATTTCAGTTATTCTTATTTACCTATGCCTTTAGCCGTTGGAATTTATCAATCCATTTCTCAAGGGCTTTTCACTATCTCTGTTGATATTTTTGTTGGGGTGCAAACCCAAATCCCACATTGGAAGATTTGAAGAAAATCTAATACCTTATAAGTCTCACATAAACTCCACTAGTATGAGGCATTTTGAAAGAAGTCCAAAAACAAATCCGTGCATACTCAGCCCAAAGCGGAAGAGTTGACCTAGTCCCAACAATTTTAAATTTTGAACAATTCTACTCTAAAGCAATTTTAAATTTTGAACAATTCTACTCTAAAGCATTTTAAACATGAAAATGCATGAGCATATGCCTCATCAAACGCATCATGCTACTAAGATATAATATGGAGGGGAGGAAATCCAAAATTAAGGTCAGCTATAGTTCATTAAAAAACATGCTAGGCCTCAAAAGTTAGTTCCATGGAAGGTCACCCTTGCAAACCAAAAGATCACATACCTAGGCAGCAACTGATGAACTGAAAATGGTTGAATTGGGACATGAATCAGATTATTAACATCCTTCAAATACTAACATAGTGCCTTTTCAGCATGTCCGCAAGACTGCTATTACTAACAAGGTTGATTTCATGTAATCTCTGAGATAAAAATACAGGATAGAGCTCGAATATGCACATGCTCAATGCTCATTTCCATTGAATATTTTCTATGTAGAGACAATGTTGTTTATGCATAGAAACAATTTTTCTATTTTCTTCCTCTACAGGAAAAAAGATGAACTGTTGTAGGAAAATTAAAAGTAGACAAGACAAATTGAAGGGCTTAAATTGACCTCTTCAATGGCGTCCATGTGTTCATCCAACCGCAAATCATGTAACTTAGGAAGTGCAGTTGCAGCACATTTTCTAACATATACAGATGGATCTCGGGCACATTTTCCCACAGCCACCAGAACAAGGGGTGCAATAACATGCAGGCGAATCCCTGCCATGGTGCGGAGTGCCCATGCCCTCACCAAAGGGTTTGGATCCCCCAAATCCTTCTGAAAATAATTAATTGAAAGCAATGTCTCATTTGGCCGCCTATAATACAAGAAAGTATGTAACTCATTGTCAGTTTCTCCATTAAAAGAATCAACAAGAAGGCTTATTTCACATATATTCATTATAATAAAGCTTGAACCTATTGGATCTGGAGAAAAACTGCAAATCAAACTTCAAACACTAATGTATTGAAGGCTTACTTTTCGGCGTAATGCAATAAGTACAAGTAAACCAGCTTCTTAACCTCCAGTGACTGCGATGCTACATTTTTAACCACCTGTAATCCAAAGAACAACTCATTACTCATGTAACCACCGAACTTCAAACCAAACACGACAGGTAATCAAACCAAAATTAAGAAAATCCCAATCTAATTGAACTCAAAACATGAACAATTAGCAGAGATTCCGCAATAGCACGTCAGCTCAAGTTAGGAACTGACCTGCGGGAAGTAAGTGGACACATCGAATCCCTGCGCAATAAGGGCTAGTAGACGCTTGAGCGCTTCGCATTTTTCGGTATCGAACTTGCTATCGAGGAGTGGCGCGATATTGGCGTCATCCGGATCGTCGTACAGGTGAGCGTCGGTACCGATCCTGAACACCATCGTTGAAGCCTTGCTCAGCGATTCAGCCGTAGCCCCGAACTGAGTCAACATGTCGCCTTTCACTGGACACGAATCCCCGGCGTGAATCCGATCGGAGTACTGATTGATAATCTAGTTCCAATCCTCCACTGCAATACCTAGAAAAGTTAGAAGCAATTATTATTGAGTTAATTGAAAATAATAATAACAATATTTATTATTATTTTTTTTAATCCTACTTCAAAGTATTTTTGTAATTTTAGGGTGTGTTTGTTTGAAGGATTTTGGAGAATTTCCACTATTCATCTAATTTTTTTCCCTCAAAAACATCAAATCAAACACCTATTTTTCATTTTTTATATTATACTAAAAATCAATTTTACATTCAAAACATCACATCAAACCCTATTTATATCACATCATACAACTATTCAAATTCAAAATTTTTATTATTCAAATTCCAATCCAAAATCCAAACCCCCAAACAAACACACCCTTAATGTACTTTCAATTTTTTAAAAAAAATCAAGAATTTTATATATATATAAATAAAATAATAATAGTTAAATACATATATACCGACATACCCGAAAAATAACTAACTCAAAAGGAACAATCAACAGTAACATATCAGCTGCAAACGCCATCACCAAATGGCCAATCTCTACAATTAATAAAATTAAAGTAAACAAACTTCATTAAGCTGGAGCTGTCTGAGCAGCAATAGCAACCTCCTCACCTTCGGATCAAAAGAGCCAAAACTTGTAATTTTATTAATTTTGGTGTAATTTTGGTGTACTTATTTGTTTGTTGTGTGAATAGTAAATTTTTTTTATTAAAATAATTATGTCTCATTTTATAAATGACAATATTTACACTAAGGGTGTATTTTTTTAGCTACAAAATTTCAAATTTTTATTACTTAAATTGTCTTTTTCAAAAAAAATATAATATTTTTTTTTTCTTACAAAATATTTTATCATATAATATTTTAATAATTCATTCAAACCAAAATTTCTCAAACCAAATAAAAAAAATAATACACCCTTAATATCATTTTATATATACTTCCTTAGGTATAAACCTATATAGTATTTTGATATACAAATACTTAAAAACCATAAGAACATCGGCAGTGACTCGATATGAGAGGCGCATTTCTTCTATCGGGAGGTCTTCGATTATGACAATTGAAAATGAAGCTCCACATTGAAATAAATGTCGAGGGTAATACTTTGCCGCAACATTGCTTATGCCTGGTGTAGGTGAAATACAAGGGCGGCAAAAGATTATTCTTCTTTTTCTTAGCCCTTAATTTATTTTTTCTGCATAGCCACACAGGTGTCATTTCTTTACCATTCTCTTATTTTCGGCCATGGTAGTCGAGTTTTCTCCACAACGGTTTATCTCCTGTCGTCTCAACGGCAACAGAGAAAAGAGAAAGCGAGAAAAAGAGTTTTTTTTATCTTCTCTGAGTTGAAAATCTTCGAGAACTTTGACTAAAGAAACTTCGATCGAATGATGCGCTATTTGGATGATAGTAATCGGAGATGCCCACGCTATGAGAGAATTAGCAAGGGAATTGTCTTTGGACAAAAGAAAAAACATTTGGGAAAGAACAACAATGAATGTATAGTAATATATTAATATTTTTTGAAAAATGTGTAAGAAAAAATAAAAAAGAACAAACCCTCTTTTCTTCTTTATTAACATACATTATATATAAATAATTTATACAAAAAATATATATACAACCGATAAAAAATATCAAAAAAATAATATACTATAAAAATATCACTTTTATCATTTTGTCTGTCCACTAATAAATATTATGTTTATATTATAGTGAAAATAATAATACATTAATATCAACATATTTTTTAAATTCTACGTAAATTAAAAATATACTATTACAATACAATTAATTTATATTTAAAGTAAAAATAATAACATCAAAATTCTTTTATATATTTTCATTAATTAATAAAATACTTATTTATTATTTTAATTTACTATAAAATCTCAAATGATCACTTATATATAATGATGTGTTCTTTTATATTACCTCCGTCCAACTACAAAGTACATAGTAATTTTTTATTGATATTTGAATATTAATTATTATATCAAAACATAATATAAATAAAGAAAAAATGACAAAAATGCATCATTTGGTCTCTTACAATACAAATACAATCGTATTTTTTGAGTAAATTATATAAATATAAGAATATTTTTAATGTTAAATATAATGATGCAAAAATATATATTTACTTTCAAGTTGAACAGATGTAGTAATATTTTGGCAAATTCATACTCCCTTCGTTCCGCTCCAAATGTCCTTTGGAGTTGATTTTGCAGTAGATTAAGAAACATAGTATTATATTGGTTAGTTGAAATGCGTAAGAGGATTTGATATTTTCGTCTATCGACTATATGTATACCGTAATTATATGTGTAATGATATATTTGTAATTTATGTTTGGATTTTGAGTTGAGATTTGAGTAGTAAAAAATTTGAATTTGAATAGTTGTATGATGTGATATAAACGAGTGTAGATGTGATGTTTTGAATATAAAATTATTTTTTAGTATAACATAAAAATAAAAAATAGGTGTTTGATTTGATGTTTTTTGGGGAATAAAATTTAGATGAATAGTGTATTTAGGGTAAAATCCTCCAAACAAACACACCCTAAGAGGATTTTGAGATTAATATATGATTACTTTTAATAAAATAATAAAATGATAATTTGGAGTGTGACAAATAATAAAAAATGGTACTTTAACTTGATACGGATCAAATTTTTTTCATTAAAAATATCAAATTTCAATACTTATTTTTTATTCTTTTATATTATACTAAAAATTAAATTTACATTTAAAATATTGCATCACATCTATTTATATTATACAGTTATTCAAATTCACAATACTTATCCCCAAACATAATCTCATGCGAGACTTTGAATAGCGGTGATTAAAACACAACCAAACAAAACATTAGAATAATTGCAAGTAAATAAAATATTAGGACTGAAATACTGAAACAAAAAAACGTGTTTTGGGATTTATAAGGAATTTAACCAAAAATAGAAAGGCTGTGAAAGATTTAGGGGCTACATTTACATCAAATTCCCATTTCCGTACTGTGTCGAGGTTGGCTTTTTCCTAATTTTGTTTTCCGAATTTTGTCAATAATCGAAAAGCCCTAGCGCGGCAGAGCCAACTCAGTATCGTCTTCGATCTGAACTCGTTCACCGCAGGGCAGATCCGCCAGCGATTCCTTCGCCATAATCAGGTCTTTTAGTTAATTGCTTTATTCGGACCTGTCCTTTGGAGGCGAAGGATATCGATTCTTTTTGTTGATTGTTTGCATCCGGATCCATCCTGCGACGTCGGTAAGTGAACGGTGTCGTTTTCGACCTCCTCTGGATCATGATCTTCCTTCGTTCTTTTTATTTGTTTTCGTAAAAAATGTATGTATCGGATTGGTGGTTATTTTTGCCAATTTTATGATTTGAGGTTTGTGCTGTAGGTCTAATTTTACGGGCTTCTGCAGAACGGAAAATTAGGGTTAATTTTATTGACAGAGTGACATTTAAGAAGGTGTGAATTCTGTAGGCTAATAACCAAAATTTACAGGTTAAGTGGTTTTTGCATGAGGCTAATTTGGGATAAATTTAATACATTTGTTGCCTATTACAATATCAAATACAAACTTATATAATCTTCATTCGGAAACAATTCACTGTATGACTACAGCATTGGTTTAATAATAGGATATTTGAAGATTGGCTGTATAATATATTTAAGAATGCGAAAATGAAGTAGTTTTTAGGTAGTTTGCTTCTCTACATGATAGTTTCTATGATCGACTTTGATGTTTGCATTGATGTGTATTCTCGCCTTTATCAATGATGTATAGTTTGCCCATTGTTATGAAGAAAGATATCATTTTCCTAGGTTGATAAATTTTGGTTAGTGGTACTCAATAGAAATGGGGAACAAATACTCAATTTGAATAATATCCCTGCATTTTAACTTTTGTTTGATTGCAATTTGGATGTGGATTTAGTTCCGTGTTGATTATAAGCAGAAAGTTCATATCAGATTCTTGTAGCCCGAAGAAGATTGCAGTTTGACATTTATTATTTTACTTCAATCTTTTTAATTGCTGATTAATGAATGGGTAAATTCAATAATTCATCTGGCAGGATAAGTTCCGCTCTGTTTGCATTTTTACTGAAGACGATTTTGTTCAGTTCGTGCTATTTTGAAACCATGAGTTTTGTTTTTCGGGGCACAAGAGGTGATGTAGAAACTGGGTTTCAGGGAATTATTCCAGAACGGCGCACGGTGGTAAGTTTTTACGTGTATTTTTAAATTCAAATTACTTTTATACTGATACTTAAACATTGTATATTATTGTATTGCTCCTGATCAGCGAGTTCATGCTGCCCGACCAGTCAATTCGAATTCCCTCGCCTTTCTTGTCACAGGTTTGTATTATTTTAATTGTTATCCACGTCCTCTTTCTTATTAACTGTGTGATTTATTGGTAATTTTGTTGTGACAGTGCTTTTGCTGTTTATGATTTTGAACTCTCACCAAATGTCTCCTAATTTTCTGGTTGGTCATCCTTTCTTGCAGCACCCGTTTCATTACTAGTTTAAATTGTATTTTCAAACATCTAATTTCGAACTTTCTATCTTACCGTATTGCAAAGCTCTGGCTGGTCCTTGGGGTGTTTTTAATGGCGACAACTTTGAGGATGTATGCAACCTGTCGGCAACTCCAGGCACAAGCACATGCTGTTGCAGTGAGCGGCAGTGTTCTTGGCCATACCGAATTGCGACTGCACATGCCGCCATCCATAGCACTTGCAACCAGAGGAAGGTTGCAGGGTCTCAGGCTTCAGCTTGCACTTCTTGACAGGGAATTTGACGACTTGGGTATGCGACTGTGAAGTAAATCATCGACACAAATAACCATAATTTCAGTCTCACGAATATGCTAAATGTTTGAATTAAGTAGTTTTCCAAGTTCCAAAGGTGAAGAATTTTCTTTTATCCGAGTGTTTTTGAACTTTTGGTGACGATGCGTTGCAGATTATGAAACTCTGCGCGCGCTGGATGCCGACAATGTTCCAATGGCCTCAATGACTGAGGAGGAGATCAATGCTCTTCCCGTTCATAAGCACAAAGTGTCTGGGCCACAGAGGTTAGCGCATATGTTTCGTGAATGCCTATCGACGCTAGATTTCTTGTGTTATATTTTAATAACCCCGAAGATCTAAATTCATTTTTTCTTACTTTTAATGAATGTTTTATGCCGATCCTCTTGACAGTGGCAGCTCACCAGTGCAGCCAGCATCTTCTTCAACCTCTATGGAGGTATTGCTCTTATAATTTGTTTACAGGTTTTTGTTTTTTCAACTTTATTTGATCTCCAAATTTCCCTGTAAAAGGGCATCCATCCGGCGTTCATTTTCCATTCAAAACATTACATCTAATCATTATTATAAAGCGACCCTAATCGAAACATGAGAATATAGGTTCTTTACTGCCGAATTTACTCACCATTCAAGTATAATGCACGCATGTTATTCTTGTCAGACATTTTCACAGTTTGTCTTTGAAGATGTTTTTAACATATTCCCTTTTTGCGCAGAAAAAACAAGAATCGGCTAACGCTAATGCCAACGCAAAGGCGGCAGCATCCGATGAAGATGACCTAACTTGTAGTGTTTGTTTAGAGCAAGTTAATGGCGGAGAACTCGTCCGCACCTTGCCCTGTTTGCATCAGGTTTCTGTTATAGCTCATCATCTTCAACTACAACTCTGTATGTTCTGCAATTCATTCGTGCGGACCTAAATCCTAATTTGGTGCCATAATTTGCAGTTTCACATGAATTGCATAGATCCATGGCTGCAGCAGCAAGGCACATGCCCAGTTTGCAAATTCCGGGCAGCAGCGGGGGATCGTTGGTCGGGCCTTACGCAAGGCGAAATCGATGCTTGAAGTAGTATATATAGCTTTACTAAAAATCAGATAACCTCCTTCCTACCTGCATATGAATCATAGATACATATATATATATATATATATATACACAAACCACATTTAGAGGCTCAAACTTACCCTATCATACAGTATATAGTAGTAATTCTTATTACATTGAACTAATTTCTGAGTTATATCCAACATTTTGTTTCAAGAAAGCAGTTTATCTTTATATTACAAACACCCAAAGTGATAAAACTCCGATGATCAAAACAACAATCATACGCGAAACAATCTTTTATTAGCATGTTCAGATTGGTTCTACTTGGCTTTACCTTTTCCCTTGCCTTTCTTGGCTTCGAGTTTAGCTTGAATTCTTGCGGCTGCAGCCGCTTTCGCCTCGTCCCGTTTCTTCTTTTCTTCTTCTTTAACTGCAGCTGCAAGTTCCCTTTGCTTCTTAAGCTCCCTAGGTGAAACAGGTAACGTTGTTTAATGAGAAATTCTGGTGATTTGTAAATTGAAACATAATCCAAATTTGATTTGAGGTTAGTATAACTTGTAATACTTACTCCAGCCTAGCCTTTTCATCCGAGACACTACTTAGACTGGATCCCTTGCGAGGCCGGCAAGCGACCAACTCAACCTCGAAAATAAGGGTTGAACTGCAGCAAATAAGAATACATGATTGCAGATTGCAGGCATACAAAATTGGTTCCACAAAAAATATAGCCACCCTATATGATTATCCGAGGGAGGGAATGTAGAAAATTTCGAAAACTTTGCAACCATGTTCACAAAATTTAAAGTGTTTCTATGACATGGTTGAAAATTTGTGAGTTCCTTGAGCCAATAAAAAGCAGACAATAGTTCACATTCTGTACAATCCAATGCAAAGCTTGTAGAACGAGTATACAATTGGATATATATATATATATATATATACACATGAATATCAACTTCCATGAAAGAGTAAATAGCATTTATAATTAATTGATCAGTTCTCACAACACATTAAGCTCAAAATGAACATTCCTAAGAATGCAGATCAACAAGGGCATGCAATTCAATGTATTTCTTCGTTGCATTTTATATGAGTAAGATTTTTCCACTACCTATCACAGATTATATTTGCAAGATTGATTGTTTTAGAACTTTCGAAAACAGGAACGGCTAAAACTTGAAATATTCTCACCAGTAAATGCAACACAAGTAAATAAAGAATAGATTTTTGCCACCCGGAACAATAGATACTTGTGAAATATTCACATCCTATATTATAGCAGTGACGTTAGATTAAAGAAGTATTACTCTGGGGGGATATCTGGTGGAGAACCAGCACTTCCATAAGCATAATCAGGCTTACAAGTGATCTTAGCTACCTCACCAACCTTCAACACAAATTAGAGAAATGAAAACATAAGCCTATTATACCAGTAAAGATTCACACAAAACACTCACACACACACACACACAAACATATATATATAGAAATAGATTTTATTTTTTTAAAAAAAAAAGCTTAAATGCTCAGGCATTCACCTTCATGGTTTTCAATGCAACGTCCCAAGCCTTTATGACAGATCCCTTGCCCACTTCAAAGGAGAAAATGGTATTATCTTCATGTGTCGTGTCAAAAACTTCACCCGTTTCGGCAAGAATGCCCTCATAGTGAACTATCAAAAAACAAAAAAATGATGCAAATAGTGATGACTCCAATGGTGGTGATGATGCAAAAACATAAGTATTTACTTCACATATTTTATTTATGACCATACCATCAACAAGGGGAAGACTCTCGGATGGAACAAGTGCATCGGGTTTGGCCCGCCGTACTATCGTCTTCAACACACCTCCATCCCCAGTCAAATCCATGGTATCACCCATGATTTCAAATTTCTCAATTGACTGGGAGGAGAAAAAAAATCTCAGTATCAAATTTGCAAAGTACCATTCCAAAACAATATACACCTGCTGCACAATTACCTTTGAATAACAGACTTTTAAACAAAATTTTGACACAAGAAATTCAGATAATGTGAGAGAAACAAGCACATATTGCATCAATTAGCATATAGCCATATACAACAGAAATGTAAATAAGAATAAAATCATTCGGTTTGTCAGAAGTAATAGAAACTTGAAGCATTAAATTTTAAGCTGTCAAAAGTTTAATGAAACTCTTTCACTCCGATCAAGGATGCCATTCTGCTTAATTCATCTATAGGCAAACTAGACCCTAAACCCTTAACCTCAAAACCCTAAATCCTCACATCTTCATGTGATTGAACTTCATTCACATCCAACAATGAAATGATCATCTTAATCCTTAGGTTATCCTTCCCTGCCAAAAGATTGACCCTGTATCATTTTCAACCATTAACCATGCTTCTGGCGAAGGGCCATATTTTACTTAGTAATATTAGAGAAAAAAAGGTGGTGCATTTATTGAATACACAGGCATTTAAAAAGTCATATAAGAAAATATATGAACTGGAAGAGTGTTGATAAAGAAAGCTAGATTTTGGCTTTTCAAACACCCATGAAATTGACTCCCTCCGCACCTGAGAGTACATCTTATTATTATTATTATTAAAATATTAAATATCTTGTTTTTACAGGGTAAGAAAATGGGATTTTGGATTTGATTTTGGGCACTTAATCTTCTTCCAAACCTTTGCTTCACTCTCTCCTATGGAGACAACTCTTCCTCAGCCCAAAAATAGAAGCATTATATTTGTGTATGAATCATGGTCACATCTTTTCAATTCAACATTAATTTTGGGCTCAGAGTTATCTAGGAGAAATTCTCAATGTTGAGTGTTGGATGCCTTTTTCTTCTCCAGTATTGTGCCCCCTTTATTGACTACAACCCAAGATATTCAAGAAATGATGACGAGGTAGATGCTGAGGGTGATGGCATTGTGGATTCTGAGGAGCATGTGTTTTGGGAGCAGAATGGTGGGTTTCTGTTGGGAGCAACATAGACTGTAGTAGAGGTTTCACAAAATAGGGATGGAGAAAGGTCTACGGGAGAAGATGAAACAATATACGAAATTACATTCCCATTTCCAGATTCACAATCTGAGCACCGGGAGGATCACGAGAGCCCATGAATTCATTCTTTACCATTCAAAAAATTTCAGAGCCTAATTTTCTAGCACAGCAGTTTAATACAGAAGTTGAGTCCTAGCTACAGCCACTGTGAAACTGGCCATGTATAGTTTTACATTTAGGCTGTGGATAACAATGATTATTAAAATAAATAGAAGACATGTTTGGTATGCATGATTTAGTATTACCAGTAAGTAAAATAATCCCATGTCATGATCACCAGCTGAACCTCAGTAACTACGATTATCACGCCTTAGTTTATTATCGAGAATGTTAATTGGAAAAATACTAATCCCATCTCATCTTAATGCTCGGATCCATCAAACTACATATGTTGTTTTCAAGTTAAGAAAAAAAGCAAACTAACTTTCTGTGGAACTATAATTGCAAACAATCCACCCTAAAAACGAAAGAAGAAATAAAGGGCAACCATAACCTAATGGAAAAAAAGGTCCTATACCTAATTATGTCCGACAAGATCAGCAAAACGATCAGATTAAATTCTAAAATCACCTCACAATTAAAGCATTAACAAAATACAGCAAACACAACCGTCAAAACACCAAAGAAAAAGCTTCAGATCAAGTAATTACCTAGAATGGCAGCAATCAATCGAGGAAACAAATCCTTGAAAATTAAACTATGTTGTGCAAACTGCTGAATATAATATTATAATACCCATACCTGTGCGGCGGAGAGGGCTGAATCGAAGCGACGGGCACAAAAAGGAGAATCGGAGAGGAGATCGATGGTAAATCGGCTTCACAGATACAGTAACTGAGGGCTGCGGCCATAAAGATGCTTCACTTTCCTCTGCGAAGATCCCCTCAGTGACTGTTGCCGCTGGCTCTTTATCGATACGCCTATTCACCGCTGAGTCTGAGCACCACTCGCTCCCCAGCGCGTGCCTGCACGAATCGGACCATTATATTCAGCCCAGCCCAAGCTCTATTTCTTATATGGGTTAAGCCCAGTCACGTTTAACTGTTAATCATGATGTTTATGTAGAGAGATAAAAAGTATCATTATAAATTTACTAAAAAAATTAATAAAAATTAGTATGATAAATAAAAATTAATTAATTTAATTTTATTAAAGTACAATTTGAAATAAATTTCTCTTTAAATTTTCATGTTTAGATTCAATCCCTTATATTATTTTGCAATGCTTTCCCATTTTAAAAAGTTATTGTGGTTAACTTCTATCATTATCTTATTTCTAATTTTATCCTTATTTATTTAATTTATCAATTTTGATTATTCTCTTTGAAAGGAAGCCTTGTTCCGTGTTCGGTTACACTCGCGTTAAAGATTATGTGATCATTAGAAAATTCAAATCACAATATTTAAGTGAAATAAACGTAAGAAAGAAACGGATAAGATGTTGGTTCGATTTTGAATGTTCTTTTAGTGTTTTAATTTTGTTGGTCGATTAAGATAGTGTTATTAGAGGTCACAATTGATCTCACCCCTATTTAGTTGAAGATGAAAACAAAGACAAAGATCGAAACTCATGTATGACTTTTATGATCGATTGATGTTTTTATTTTGTTTTTGGAAATATTGTATATACATATTTTTATTTATAATTGCAATAGTTATTAATTTTACATTTATTATGACATTTTTTAGAAAAGTATGTATAGAAAAAAATATTTGTGGCACTGTTGCAATGCTAATATCCATAAGTATTTTCAGGAGATATATATTTTGAATTAAATATACATATATATATATATATATACTTTTGCTTCATTACTAAACATTTCTCAACTTAACTATCATACCTGTGTGATAATCCCCGACAATAATCACCATAAATCCAACACAATAATAATCAATACGCACGTTATCTTCCCTAAAGAAATTTTGCATGTCAAACTGATTCTCCGGTCATTAATTGGATCTATTTATTTCTCAAAATTCACATAGTTTTTAACGAATCGAGTTGAATTCATTCATCGGTGTACAATGAATCAAATCAACCTCGTAAACTACATTCAACTGTATAATGCTGGTTGGGGTTCCTTGGTGGATTATTTCAGTAACAACACTATTTCCAGACATGCTTTATTTTTATATCAATGTTGCAGATTAACTAGTTTTATACCATTCTAGGATTTGCATTCGGAATGTAGAATGTATTGTTCTTACGGATACAAACCTTTGCTTTCAGACTGACTTAATGAGCTTTGTGGACTCCAGAACTTTCTTTGCCCATTCCTTCTCTTGCTGTTCTAGTGATGTTTCGAGAGCTTTGCGAGCTTCAGAAAGATTGTCACCATTGATGGAAGAGTCAGTCTTCATGGCAAAGAGTATTTCATTCACGCCTTCTTCAATCTCAAGGGAAAAGAGGTTGCCAAAAACCTGCGCGAAGCATGCACCAAAACATTATATGAAAGAAAAAAAGTTAATTCGATTAATTTAGATGGAAAGATTTATTTAAAAACAAAATAAAATTCGAAGGGTATAGAAAATTTAATGATATTCAGTGATGACAAGAATAAAAAACAGAAAGAAACTTAGTCAATACTCTAACAAAAAAACTTCCCGACTATCATTGGAGCTTCATTTTTTATTTTAGTCTCAAAGTGCCAACCATAAATGAACTTAAAAGAGCCCAATAATTTTGAGATAAAGTTTTAAATGATTATATGCAAGGCATGGATTAAACACCGGAAAAAAGCAGTTATTGCGAGTCAAACAGAATGTCTAATTTTAAAACCATATCTTTGTCATGTCAAAACTGTACTCACTGTTTTCAATCTCAAATATATTGCAGTCTTTAGAGAAGAGGCCCTTGAGATCAGATTAATGATGAATAAGCCTCGCTCAGCTAGTGATTTTTTTACTGATATAAGAAAAGATTCCTCAACAAAGTCTGTTGCAGGAGAGGTTAAACCAGAGCTGCAATACAATGAAACAAGCAAAAAAATTGTAAATCAATAAATATGACAAATACATATATATATATATTTATATAAAGCTACTGGCTACATTACCTTATATCCGTTGTGTTAACATCAATTATGAGTACGTTGATGCAAGAACCCTTTCCATCTGCACAAACAAGTTAGCATTTCAAACTACTTGTGAACTCATAATTTCGGCTGCCTATAAAGTCTTTATACTTTACCTGCTGCTGCAGTTCCTTTATCATGGACATACTTAATTCCATCCATAACACGCACCTGAGCAAAATGATAACAAACAGAAGAATTGGGTCAATTCTGCAGTTAAAAGTCCGAAAAGAATGCAAAACAACAAAGAAATAAAATAGAATTCTTTTGATAAACAACGATTAGGACTATAATTATTTTTGTGTACATAAGTTAGCTGATCTGTATTCCTATATTCATGTAGATTTCCAATGGATTTTGGCACAAGACTGTGTGCATGATCAATCCAACCACAAAAGCAACGACAAGATCCACATTGAACATGCTTCCTCTATAACCAAATTGCCTAGGACTGGTGTAACCAATATTTTACATACTGCACACACTACGAACTCTCAATCAATATAACAATTTGAAACCTATTATGCTTTAGAGCATGTTGGTAAGACTCCGTTTGGATATGCTTCTCAAAAGTATTTTTAAGTACTTTTTGAAAAGCAACTTAGAGGGTACTTCTAGAAAAAATCATAAGCAGTTTTAAAGTCTAAATTACTACTTAATCCATGATGATAATAATAATAATAATAATAATAATAATAATAAGTTTATTTTATTTTTTATTCCAGCCAATATTGAAATCAGAATATTAATATATATTGTACACATATTTAATTATATATCTAAATTATATATTTTGAAATATTTTAATTAAATATTTAAAATCATTTTAATTATAATATTTTTTAAATTTTCTTATATAAAACATAATTATAATTTACTATAAAATACTTTAAAAAAATACATTAAAACTAATTAAATCTTAAATTATTAGAATTAATAATTAACTTAATCAGTATATTTTTTGTTTTTTTTTGTTACTGTTTTTAAATAAAGTTATGTTTATCTATATTTTAGTTTCAATAAATATTTTGTATTATAACAAAAACTCTATCACATTACCTACTGTATCCGAATATATGTTTTATTAATAAGTTATTCAAATTTTATCATATAATTTTGTTTTCTTCATTTATATATTATAGATGCATAATTGTAAAACTAATACTATTTTTCTTTCACTTCACCTGTATAACAAAATACAAAATACTAATTTTCATTTTTTACTCATTTTCGATTTCATATGAACCAAACACATTATTATAAATTTGATATTCCCTCGTTTCCCTTCGCCTCCCTTCATTTCCATTAAAATCTCTCCCTTTCTTATTTAAACCAAATAGGCCATAGAGGTTTTGTGGTGAAAGGGAAAAATAACCATATGCACCGATTGAAAAAGAGCTTTTATGAGCTTAAACAAGCTCCAAGAAAGTAGTATAAGAATTTTGAATCTGTCATGATTCAATAAGGGTGCAAGAAACTGATTCTCACACTTGTGTTTTTGTACCGCTGTTATAGCGTAATGATATTATCATCTACTTCTTTATGTAGCTGATATGTTTATTGTAGCTTCTTCGGATTTGAAAATGTACAATTTGAAGGAGTTGAGTAAACACTTTGCGATGAAGAATTGGGACCAACTGTAAGTATTCTTGGGATGAATATTTGTCGGAATAAGGAAGAAAAAAAAGTTTAGGGTTGTCTCAAAAAGTTACATCGAAAGGTGTTACAACATTTCAACATGGACAAGGACAAAACTACCTTTACCCTACTTGTTGTTTCATTTAAATTGAGTATGGAACAATGTCTTTCTAATGAGAAAGAAAATGAAGATATGCGGCGAATTCCTTATGCCTCAACCATTGGTAGTTTGATATATGCTATGGTGTGTACTCGAACGAACATACCTTATGCACTTGATGTATTTAGCCAATTCATATTGAATTTGGGCAAAAAACATTGAAGTGCGGCGAAGTGGATTTTGAGATATCTTTGTTGGTTATACATATTCTGATATGACCGGAGATTGATAATATGAAGTTTACTTCTGGATACTTGTTAACTTATGCATGGGGAGCAATTTCATGGAAATCCCGATTTAAAAAATGTGTTGCATTTATTCCAACGAGATGGAGTTTATTGTTGCTACCAAGGCTTGCAAAGAGGTATTGTGGTTGAAGACTTTTGTGAGTCAGATTGGTTTTGCTCAACAGAAATATGTTTTGTATTGCGAAAATCAAAGTGGGATCCATCTTACCAAGAATCATTTCATTTGATGGGAGATCGAAACATATTGATACAAGGTATCATTGGATTCGAGAGGTTTTGGGTTCTAAGTTGCTTGAAGTTGATAAGATCCACACGGATGAGAATGGTGCATATATGTGCACTAAGAGTCTTCATATAGATAAGTTTGAGTTTTGCAGGTCGCTTGCAGGGTTGTTTGCCTCTTGCACATAGTTGGAGGGGGATAATTGTTGGGTTTGGGTTCTTCCTACGTGTAAAAGGCCTAACAAGTCATGGAAACCCAAATTTGTTGGTGCCCTATCTCAAAATTATTGTGCCCTAAATTCATTTAAAGAAGTTGGCTTTGAAGAGAGGTAATTGAGAAAGAATTGTCATCCACAAACAATATAGAATCGACAAGCAAGAGAGAATTTCTTCAACTCAGTAGTTTCGATCAACGATTTCATCATATTTGGATATTCTTTCGGTATCGTTGATTTTTCACCTTTTACTTGTTTCAAATTCTTGTTCAATCTTGTTGGTTGGTGGTTTGGAATTGATTTTTTTTGTCGTTGGGAGATCTTTTGTGATAAGGGTTTTGATTCTTGTAATTGAGTGTGGAGTTTGATAGTCTTTAGTTGTGGTTATCCTTGAATGTATATACATTATTGATATAGTAGACTTTTACCTTGGGTCGGGTGATAGGCCTCGTGGTTTTTATCCTTCATTTTGAAAGATTTTTCCACGTTAAAATTTTCGGTGTCCTATATTGTTATTTTCATTATTTATTGGTGTTTTCTGTTTCTCAACAATTGGTGAAAGAAATAATCGGATTTAGTGAAGAAGTTTGGTGGAGTAGAAGATAATACCCTCCTTAGGTATGACCACGCCCAACCACCGTAGGATTTTTGTCACCATGGTTCATTTCTTTTTGGTGATATGTCACATTGAAGACAATTGGATTCTTAATCAACTTGGTTAATTGTTCGTTTATTTCACAGGAACATACTATATTTAGAATATGCATTTGATCAGTGGAACTTTTAATACTTTTAATTTATTGTTTTTTGCCAAACCCCTCGAGGCATGTCTTTCTAATATTGTAACTTATTTTTAAATTACAGATTTATAGTATTTGTGCAATTAAGATCATCATAAATTGGTTTAGAGTTATTTATTTATTATGGCTTGTCATTTGTGCAATTAAGATCATCATAGATTGCTTTAGAGGTATTGATTTTTTCTGTTTTCTTCATTTGCAGTTATTTGGTTTGGATGTGACCAGACCTAAGCACCACGTCCTGTTATATTTTGCTGGTGTGGCCATACCTAAGTACTACGCTCTATTCTATTTTGCTTGCATGACCACGCACAAAAAGTATATTCTTATATGTTTTTGTTTGTATATTCCTCTTCATCCGGTGTTCTCTCAACAAAAAATCCGGCGGACAAGTGGTGGCACTTGTGGCTTTGGCAGCGGTGCTGATGCTGGTTGATGCATTGTCGCATTTTGGAGGGCGCTATGGAAATGAGCTGAAAATGGAAGTAAAAATATGGTGTCTTAGGTTGGTAGTGCGTGGAGGCACGTGCAGCAACAATTAGAGACCGTGGGTGGCGATGTTGGTGGAAAAGAACAAGATTCCAATGCTAGTATGGTAAAAGAACAACATTTGAATGGGTGTTTAAGATAATTAGGTGTTTCTGGGTATGGACAACGATTCTCTATAACAATGACAACAGAACGGACAGCATCGGCGTGGTAGTTTTAACTTTAATAATAAATGGCTCTGATGCCATTTAAGTATATATTCTATATTCTCAATAATATATGCAATAAATTGACAAAGATAATATAGTGACAAAGTAACCTAAATGAGTCTACTCTTAACAATTCTCAACATAAATTGGTGGCATTATTTTATTGTTTAGTCCCTAGGAATTTTTTAATTAAACTATTAATGAGAACATAAGTTCCTCTCGTAATTGAGCACCTCACTGCAGTTGAGTAAAAAAAAATTCCATTCTACTAATTCAACAATTTGGAAATTATTGGTATAATAGACACATATACATCTCAATGAATATTTTGTGAACAAGACCAGCCAATGGAACTCTAAGAATTTCTATTAGTCAGTTAACTATAACATGGATTAAACAACAAAATAAAAAAATTAAACATTACCTTCAAATGGTCATCTTCTATAAAACCAAAATATTCTCTAGCTATATCATAAACCGCAGGATCCAATTCAATTGCCTGTCAAAATAGAATCAGCATGAGGGCAGAAATGCAGCTAATAAAAAACACATAAATATCAACACACCTTGATAAATAGAGTAGTTAGCCACTTCCTCATAAACATGGGAAGCAATCCAGCTCCTAGACCGATAACTACTGTTTTGACCTGAAGGGGCATGCAGCTTTATTCAGTAAAGGGCATCTTCCAGAAAAAGTGAAGCCCCAATACAAAACCTTTGACAAAAATATCAGTTCTGATTGGCAGCATAAGCAATTAAGAAACTGCTTGCCTTTGAAACACCCCAGCAGCAGCAGAGGTGGCGGAAATAATCAAGAATATTACAGTATGAAAGGCACGTTATCGTGCCAAACCATAGCTAACAGGATGAGATACAAACTTGTAGGTACTTACTTTCCCCTCCTCTGAGGTAGACCCTTGTATGTCTCTGAGTAGGGAAAAAAACATTAATCCAGAAATTATTCCACTGTGGTATGAGCTTGTCAAATAGTCGTGATCTACTTTTTTCTGACCACATGATCCTGCCACACGTGAAAGATGGAAAATTGATGTACATGATAGTGAAAACAGATAAACATTATTCATATATCAGTATTATAAAATAATAATGGTAGAGTTTTTTGGTTGTATTCATGCAGTAAAGTAATCAGAGAGTAATAATTTCATATAGGGTAGTTGCAAAGTTTGTTGAAACAATAGGAAGTTATTATTAACATATGACACCAAGGATAACTAATCAGTCTTTATATATCCTAAACACAATGAGCTCCATGTCAGACAGTTTTTGCTGTACAATATGAAGTCCACTACTCATGCTGAATGCAGGAATATGAACCTAATAAACAAGTCAGTTATTTCAGGTACTCGGAACAGGGTTTACAAATTGATGGCAATTAGATGATCTGACCTTGAGAGTTATTTAGCAATGTACGATATTGTGCTAACTGCTAAACAACCGTCTTGGGAATTGGATAAAAGCTTCTCTGGGTGATATAATATACCATATAATGTTTTGACTAGTTTTCACCAAAAGGAGGTAACAGTTCTTTTCTAGCCTTAGTAACAGGATATGAACCTTGGGTTGCCTCTAAGAATACCAACTAATTTCAAGGAGATTTGGAAACAATCAGTGAGAGCTTGAACGGAAGCTGGGGGATGGAATTGGTCTTATTTATCAAAATTGGGAGCCTCAGAGTTAATAAATGAACAGTGTCTACTTGCTGACATTTCCTTTTTCTATTCAAGACTAAGAGTGGCTAGAAGATTTGATCCATCAAACATAGATCTTTTGGAGAGGAATTGAAAATCGATGTAAGTTTCATCTTGTAAACAAAAAGGAAATGAAGTAATTGAAAATCGAAGTAAGTTATCATCTTGTAAACATACTCAGTCCTCTCGTGCTCCTAATCTTGTTTACTATTTTATTAGTTATCACCGTTTATCTCCTTCCATGTATAGTGTTGTGTTTGCTTTAGATTGTCCTTGTTCCCCGTTCTTGGCATGAGACTTTGGGTCATTTAAGGTGGTGCCAGGCCATGGTTGAGAAAATGTCTGTTTTGCATGCTAACAATACTTGATAGTTGGTCCCCTTGCCGTTAGGAAAGACATCCGTGGCTTTCCGATATGTTTATGAAGTCAAGGTTGGCCTCATGGTTGCATTGATCATCTCAAAGCTCAGCTTGACACGAAAGGCTTCCCTCAATATGGAGAAACCTTCTCTACTATTGCTAAAATGTCTTTTGTTTGCCTTTTTCTTTCTATGGCAACTATGCCTGGTTGGCCCCTTCATCAGCTGGACATTAAAAATATCTTTTTGCGTGGTAAACTTGAAGAAGAAGTGTACATGAAGCAACCACTTAGTTTTGTTGCTCAAGAGTTTGGTCTTGTGTCGCCTTTGTCTCTCACTTTATGATCTGAAACAAGTCTCTACAAACATAGTTTGGATGTTTCAATCTTGTTATTCAAAAATCTGGTATGACACACTGTTCGTTTGAACATACCATATTCTTTCAGCATACTCTAGAAAGACAATGTGTTTACTTGATTGTTTATGTTGATGATATCGTTATCACTGAGGATGATACGGATGGTACTCACGTAAAGGAGCACATACACAAACATTTTCAGACCAAGGATTAGGGACCGCTACGTTACTTCTTAGGAATTGAAATTTTCCAGTCAAAGAACGGTGGAAGAAACAGACATGATTGAATATAAGACTATGGATTCTCCTGTCCAAATATGAAGTTGCTTGATTCTCCCATCCAAATATGAAGTTGCTTATTGGACAAAGAAGCCTTTGATTGATGTTGGACAATATAGATAGCTAGTTAGGAAGCTTAATTATCTCACTATCACCTGACCAGATATATTATTTGCAGTAAGTGTGGTGAGTCAGTTCCTACCGTCTTTAAGTGATTTTCATTAGAAGGCAATTATGCTCATTTTGCACTAAATCATGGTCATTAAGATATTGTTGGATTTTCAAATGCTGGTCGTTCAAGGTCTTCACTTGATAAATCGGGTTATTGTGTGTTTGTTGGGGGTATTTTGATATCTTGTAAGAGTAAAAAGCAAGACGTGGTCGTGTGTTCTAATACTGAGGTTGAGTACCGTGGTATGGCCTTAGCTACATGTTGGGTTATAAAATTTCTTTGAGAACTCAATTTCTATGAGATGATGAAGAAAAAATTGTGATCACACAATAGGTTGCATCAAAACCAATATTTTATGAACGAACAAAGCATATTGAAATAGATTTCACTTCATCAAGAAAAAAATGTTATATGGACGTACAAATACTAAATATGTGTCTTCAGATGACCAACTTGCACACATATTGACAAAAGCCTTAAGAGGTCTTAGATCCGATTTCATTTGCAACAAATTTGGATTGTACTACTTGTACGCTCCAGCTCGAAGGGGAATGTTAAATTTATATGTATCTTTACAATTTAGATAGACTTGATTTGTTTGTTAGATTAGATTATCTACCAATTAGATTTGTTTGTTAGATTAGATTATCTTCCAATACCTATATATGTGTGTATTCTCCAAGGAATGAAATAAAATAAACTTTCTTATCTTTTCTACAAGTACAAACCTGACTGACCTTGTTAAGTAATATTCGTCTAACTTTGCTTGAGCATTCAAATTAAGTATAATATTACAAAAATATATAACTATGAGTGGTAAAAAGATCAATGGACTATCTTAACATCTACCAAGCTTCCACTAACAAAACTCAAGATTGTTCATGAACAAAATGACTAAAAACGTGTGCTTTTATTTTTGGAGGGCATGTGGGATGCTTATTGATGACGAATAATGTGGACAACAGTGGTAGTGGAATTGGTAGTGACAGAAGTAACAAGATAATGAACAGATGTATGCCACATCCTATTAATTGGTCAATTTGAAAGGAAGCAATATAAATAAATAAATGGTGGGCTCATGATAATATAGAATGTGTTGAAGATATATTTAAAGAGGGAAGAGAAAGGAATGCACATAAATGCCTTTCATGAAATGTATTTAGTTACTTACGAAAAAAGTAACTTTAATGGCCTGATTTGGAAAGAAGCGATGAAAAAAAAAAGAGGTGAGCTTTTTGACAAGGTAGGATGCGATGAAGATACATTCAAACGGGAAGGGAAAGGAACTTACATATTAGGTATACATAGAACTACTGGTCTTTGAAACAAATGACTCCTTACTAGGCTAAGTAGCTCTTTTCCCATGTTGCAAACTTTTGATGCCTTTCATGAAATCTATTTGGTTACTTATGAAAAAGTTAAGATTAATGATCTTACACTATAGAGAGGTAAACTACAAATAGATTCAGTAAAGAGACAAGTGCACTGTATTTGGAAACAATTTTAGTTTGAAAATTATTGTTTTCCCAATTTCAAGTAAACTATAGCAACAATATTAGAATCTAATAGTAATATGATCTGCCCCCCCAAAAAAAAACAAGAAGAATTACAAAAGAAGTTACCAGCATAGATATCTAGGCCTTCAGTTGATAAAAGAGCTTCAGACTGCACCAAAGTCTCAGCTCTCGAAAAAACAAGGCGACGGTATAAACAACTTTTAGAGGCAGCACCATCCACATAATAGATCACATCATTTGTGTCATCATACATCACGTCGTCCATGGTATGATAAGCCACATCTTCTACAACAATCGGACCAGTGAGCAGAGACCCAACCTGGAATTTAGAAGCAAGAAAAACATGAAAAAGAAAAGAAAAAAGCAAAGAAAAAATCGAGTACTACTGTATTAGAAAGAAATGGAAACATCTGATGGTAAAGAAAATAATCATACAAACTCAATTAGTAGTTTTAAACTCCATATTTTTACATAATATACTAGCAATTTAGTGACTTGAGTAGGAAAGCCGATGAATCAGTTACAATGTAGTGAAGCAGTCACTCCTCAACCTCAAACAAGCTTATGAGAGAGGTAAATTTACTGATCAAATGTGATGGATAAAATATGCGAGGAACACAATGTCAAACTACATCCATCAATGCCTATGCCAGGGAAAAATTCATTTAGATAGTGATCACTTTTATTCTTTCGTATATGAAAATGCTTTCTCTCCACAGCCATATTGAGAAGGCTTCTAATAATCTGAGATATCATTATAATGTTCCAGCTCAACTCAACCAAAAGAATCGCATTAGTAACAAAAAGCAACAAAAGCACCCTCACCAATAAAAACAATGAATAATCTTGAGGGAGGGGGTGGCGAGAAAGAGATTTCTCAAGATTCCAGATTTTTCTCATTCCAGCACTTTTCCCCAGTTGTTAAGTTTCAGTTACGACAAGGACCAGGATCACGATCTAACTAAAAATACAATTTATTCTCTCTATACAGAATACATACATATATTTATATAGATATATAGAAGAAATTATATACCTATTTCACTCGATTCCCCCAACACAAAGACATTAGGGCTCTTTACCAAGCTAGCCTTCAAATTCTTCCACAAGGATATGCAAATTTCATCCCATATGACATTGAATTAAATTTTTATTCCCACGTAATATATATATTTTTTCCCAAAAGAAGTGCAACAAAATGCACTTGACTACAGGCTTAAATTGCAAAACATGGTTGAACACTAAAAACAAAAATCTTCTAATAAATGTCTTTTGAGGCAAAAAAGACAGTTTCAAGAGCTCTTTAGCCTCTATCAAGCGACCAAGTGCATAAGTGATAAATGCCGTTCAAGAGAATGTAAAATAATATTTGAAAGAAAAATCACTACAACAAAATTCGCATAGCTCACTAAACATCACATCGATCTACATTAACTGACATAAGAGATATTGTTCACTTGGACTCTTGTAGATTACTAGACTATAAGACGGGTAAAGACAAACTTTGTAATTTGAAAAGAAAACCAACATATACTATTAGACATGCCGTCAACAAAATAACAGAAGTTATTCAACCTGATACAAAATGTCACTCTGCTTGAGCGTATCATCTGCATACATAAACCTGCAAAATGATTTGAGCCAATTAGATTTATGTCTGCAAGTGGTACAAAATGTCATAAATAAGGGAACTTGTTTCCAAACTTAAGCCACTTTTAAGTATTGCCTTATATATATAACAAGAAAATTTGAGCATGAAACCACTAGACAATGAATACATGATGGTTTTTTATAATTTATTTATTCTACATGTATACCGTACTTAAAGCATATTGTTTGGTCATTTCACATCATTTCAGTAATTTCTTGTATTGGAATACAGAATTGTAAATTTTCTAACCATAATGTCAGAACAATAGCTTTGTTCTCCCAACAATCTTCTTCCAGACACGATTTCCAATATATATTATATATATTCTATTCTCTCACAAAATCAAGGTGCACATTTCCATAAAATAAAATAATCAGAACCGGAAGATTCTTTGAAAAATAAAACAAATTGTCTTTAAAGATTCATAGGCCATGTTCAGTAACATTGGAATGGAATGCAATGCAAATAGATACTCACGTAATTGGAAGCGCATCGTCACAATCCATTGGCAGCAAATTCTTAACTAGTGGAGAGAGATCATTCTGAAAAAGGAAAACAAAACACAAGTTGTGACATAAAGTCACACATATCTTCTCCAACAGAAACAGAATAAAGTTGAATATTACCTGTATATCCTCCGTGCAAGTATTAGAGTTTCCGGAATCCAGTAAAATCTAACGTTAAATAAACTAACTTAATAAGGTGATAAAAAAAATTATGTAAATAACAGAGAAAATAATAAGCACTCTAGATTAATTAGATTATGAAAATGTACCATTAGTAAACGAGAAGCTTGTAAGGTTGCAACATTAAACCACCGTCCTTCATCCGTTGTGAAGAGCCACTCATGCACTCTCGACTGAAAGCTTAAATACAAATCATTTACTAGGTCGATTGACAACTTAGTGAAACAAGTAATATAAAAAGATTGTGGTGGAATTAATACATACAAAAGGGTCAACTTTGTTAGTATGTAAGTTTTTTACCTAGGTGTCTACTATTCATAAAAAAAATTCACAATAAAATATCAAATAAAAACACCTATTTTTTGTTTCTTATATTACAATAAAGATTCACATCAGTATATATTTATATCACATTAAAAATTATTTTAATTCAAAATTTTAATATTCAAAACCCAAACCCCACAATCAAACTTACATCTAAATCAGAAATATGTAGATATCTTGGGTCTAACACAAAATTAAATATTGAAGTTATCTGCAAAATTATAATAAAAATATAGAAGAAAAGTCTATAAATGAATTTCTAATTATCAATCAAACCAATAAAATATCTAAAATTTATTCAATCATAGTATAGTTATAGCAAAAGTAATTATATCGATACCAATAGATAGGTAATCCAAGTTAATAAGATACTATCTTGTATAGATCCTCTCTTTATCTTTATCACCTTCATTCATTTCCATTGTATGTTACTCACCCTACACAACATTGCTAGAAGTAGTTATAACATTTTTTTTCATTGGTATTCGCTTCCTAGTGTAGATAAAAGGCTATTGTATAAATATTATATTGTTTTATATGATTTAAACTAAAAACCTACATTTTTTTGTTATAATAAACTAAACGGTTTAATAGATTGATTATTACTAAAATATAATATAAATACATAGTCTTACATGTAAAAACAAACGTAGAGCTTCTAGCGCTCCGCACCACACAAATGCTAAATGGCACTACGACCTCTATTGTGTGAATGCAACATCCCAGAGCAACGGTAGCAACAGTGTACCGCTCCGTAACAACGCTTTTAGTGCACTATTAACAACTATGATAGAAGCATGAGGTTAAAGCTACCAAATGCAATTGTTTGGTAAGTAGGCAAATAAGGAAGTAGCCAAATAAAACGACAAAGGGAAAAATTAATACGATTTTATATCCTATGCTCGCCTGGAAAGTTTTGAAACACAACCCTTCTTGGTTCTTTAGCAATTAATAGATCAAGGAAAATGAGTACAGATCTAAGTAGGTTCAAAATGTGTTGCTTCTAGAAAAATTTAAGCTATATATCTCAACATAGACATTAAGTTATGCTGAACAACAATAAAATTTCAAATTATGTTATCATACTAGTAAAAAACTTAGAATATCAAACTTTTTTAAGTTTTACTCAATGAGAGAAATTTCATTATGTAGGAAAGCTTGAAGGATAAAAGAATATATATTAAAAAAAAAAAAAAAAAAAACTTACTTTTGGAACAATGTATACACCAAATTGATGCTTGAAAGGTCCAAAATCTTCTAGAGCATCGAACAGTAGACCTTTGTAGTAGTAACGAGACAATCCAGGCTCACCTAATACCAGCTTTATCCTGCGACCAGGTTCCTTCACTGTTAGGTCCCCTTTTGCTCCTAGACAGAGGTCTTCGAGTGAGTATGTTAGATCAGAGCAATTAATGTACTCTGCTCGAACCACTTTTTCTCTCTCAAGTGCTTCATAGAGTCCAGACACCTAAACAATAAAAAGCATTAAGACTTCTGCAAACATGCATACATATATATATTTTTTAAGCTACTGCACAAAACCAATTCTCATGTGTTAGATCAAAGGGTATAAATGCTTCCTTCAGAATAACTCAGCAAGTACTTCTATTCCATGAAATGGAATTGGAAGGGTATGGAACAGGTGAAAGACTTACCTGATAACCACCAGATTCAATAGTACATTCATCCAAACATGATGATATCTCTGAAATTGCATTGGAAACATCTTTCTCAGACACTACCATAAAGGTCAGCAGCTTTGGGGTTTTAGATGACAATCTCTGAGCAATGCTGTAAATACTCATTTTCCACCCAAACCGAAACTTAGGAAAAAGTATATCTGGAAAAATGATTACATTTATGCAAAAAATCTTGTGTTACACCACAGCTAACCTTCGTATAAATGAATTTATTATGGAAAGAAAGACTGGAGGACTCTTATGATTTGTGGCACATGTACATTTAGATTTACTGAGTGAATAAAAGCAATCAAGAAACAAAAATGACAATTCACGACAAAGCAAGCTACAATTGATTACAAATGGCCAAATTTTTTCACCAAGCAAAAAGGCTCATAGGAAAATACCTAATATATGAGGTTCTCCCAATGTGAGGCAAATATATTTCCCTCCTGTCTTTAAAACCCTTTTCACCTGTTAATACACAAAAGAATGCTCTTGAGTCATGCTTTGCAGCCCAGTTCAAATACAATTATTAAAAACAGTATCACTCTCAAATGAATATTATCATAAACCTCAGACAGATATTTATATCCTAAAATGGGACCATGCTTAGGCTCCATGGAAGCATCTAATCCTCCCTTATCGATCACAGCATCAAAGCTCCCACTTTCAAGCTGAATCATAGTGAAAAAAGTGTTAGGGAGACAGGTAGCATTTGTATTCGAAAATTATACAGAACCTAAATATTAGTTAGTGTCTGGAATTAAATATTCCAAAGGATATATAGGTTTCCCAAACAGTTGAAATACCATTATACAGCATTCAACAAATTAAAAGGTCACCAACATCCCAAGAGAAACTAAAGAACAAATACATAATACTGTTCCACATTTCATTCTCCATTTTTCAAATAATAATAATAATTCAAGATATTTGCATAAGATAATTCTACAATTACCAGTCCTCACACGCTATGCCAACACCAAATCAATATACTCAAAACACATCAGTAATTTCTCAAACTGAAACTTAATAGTTTGGTATGCAAAATTGGATATGCCTAACTATGCATTCACAGATAAGCAGCTACCATTTGCAGCAACAAAGAGAGCTCACAATAACAGCGACTAGATATGATACTCTAAAACTCAAACCATCTAAAACTCGCCATAAATTAAATTAAAAGCTCGTGATCGCCAGATTCTGCTTCCTATCAATATTTCCTTATCAAACAATTCCTTAATTACAGTGTTAGATTGTTAGCCATAATCACAACTCAACAAATGCAAGAAAGTACCGGCATACTGCTCATGTCCATAACGCGCCACTTCATCTGCGGCCGCTCTCTCACATTCCGCCTCAACATATCCATAATAACCACTTTCGAGAAATCCACATTCGTTATGTTACGAAACCCTGCGTCGTACAGATGCTCCGACAGACGCGAGTTCCCGCAGCCAGGCACCAAGATGCTCGCCGCCGGCGAAGAGCCTTCTTCCGACTGCGACGACAGATGCTGTGTGAGCGGTGCTTGGAGTTCGGGCCATTCGGCGTACCACTCATAGGGATCATCGACGCCTCTTAACGTATAGAACCTATCCCAACTCTCTTTGACTGTGAAGTCTTCAAGCGTCTTCAACAACTCTTCTTCGCTCATCTTCTTCCCACTGTTTCTCTTCTCCATTTTGCGCAGAGGATTTTCGGAACGTTCAATGGGGTTCACTTCAGTGGAGAGGCTTTAAATGAGTCGATGGAAAACACGTCCAGTTCAAACTTTTGACGTGATAGTAATAAAAATTATTTTTATAAAGAGACAGTAGAGCGGGAATTATTAACTCAGAAAGTAACCGCTATTTGGAGTACTAACCATGGTTATGTCCTTCTCTGAATTTTATGACTGATTTTTGAATTATATCAAATAATTAATTTTTTATATTATATTATAATTTTATTTTATAGGAGCATTTAAATATCATGTCAATATATATTTATATGAGATTAAACAATTAGTTAAATTAAATTTTTTAATATTAAAAAATTTAAATTCAAAATCTCAAACCCACGTACAAACACACCCTTAAGTTTTTCTATCTGTCTTTTTTTTTTATAAAAAAATAATCAAAATATTATTCTTTCTGGTCATTTTTTTTCTTTTTAAGTCGTCCAACCAAATTAGTACATCTTCCTAATATAATACTGATAATTAGTAAATAATCATTTAAATTAAAATTTTAATTACATTTAATTAAATTACTAATATTTTATAAGTTTATTGTATGGTCCATTGTAAATTTGGAAATTAGACTATAATTTTGAATAATAAAAATTAAAATTAAAATTTAATTTAATAAAAATAGATATTTATGTAATGTTTAAGATTTTAAATTAGTTTTAATGTAGTATTAAAAAATTTAAATATTTACTTTGGTATTTTATGATTGAAACATTTGTTAATAGTAAATTTAATTTAAATCTTTTTTTTAATTAAAAAAAAATAATAAAAAATACAGTTATCAAGCAAAGTTATAAAATTATTTTTTTATTTTAGTATCTCGGAAATATTATAATGATTCATGATAGTATACCCAATATGATATTTTATATAGTACTGAATTATTTTATTTGTTTATCGATATTGTATAAAAAATTTAATATGTATATCGAAATACCGATTTTTTAAAATTGTCTATATATTTCAAAAAATATCAAATTGTATGTTGTTACAAAATATATAAAATAAAATAAAATAAATTAATATCTCATATCATGCCAAAAATTTAAAATTTTTGATATTTTTTATACTGTATGCACACTATTTAGATAATTTAGTATATTTTCATCCATAAATTATGTATACCAAATTATTGATATGAATCAGTTATATAAAATATAAAACTAAAAATTTTGATATTACATACAATATACAATATAAATTTTGATATGTATACCAAATTATTTCTATCAAAATTTGATTAATTGTTTACTTAATTTTTTTAGAATTACAATTTTTTATTGTATGAATTACATTTAAATTATTAAATTCAATTTACTTATTATTATTATAATTGTACATATTAATTTACAATATTTAAAAAATAATAATAATTTCAGTACATAAAATATTCAATATTAAAAAATTAAAATAAAAAATAATTTAACATTTATTTTATTAATATATGAAATAAAGATATTTAAAATAATACTTCATTACAAACATTACATCACTTAATCAAATAATTAACTACTGCATAATACAATATTTGACCAATTTTATGGGACACGAGGGAGTATTGGATATTTAGTTTCTTATTTTTAATAAAAATATAGCAAAATAATTTTTTAAATTCTATACATTTTTTTTTTTTTCCGGAGTCACTGATATGACATGTAGACATTATTTTAAAATCATTCCTATCAAAATATCGTGTGGATTGACTTAAAAAATAAACAGAAGTCAAAATAAAAAACAGAAGCTAAAAACAGAAGTAGTAAGATTCCAGAGACAGAAGTAGTAAGATTTTGGGTGTGTTTGACAATTAGCTGATAGCTGTTAGCTGATTCAATTAGCTGGTTTGACTAGCTGATTTGTATTAAAATGTTTGGTAAAACAACTGTTTGATATTACCTGTTTATACTTAAAATGACAATTGAAAATATTTTTTTTTTATTCTTGTTTCTAATATATTCAATTATGTTTTTTTTTAGTTCAGAATGTTTAAAATTTTTTTTTATTAGTTATTGAAAATTGTAAAATTGTTACGAAAATATTTATTTTTATTACAGTTAAATTTAAAAAATAATATATTTTTATTAAAATATATAAATAGTTTTTTTTATTGAAAATAATGTAAAATATAAAATAATAAATTTTTCGTGTATATATTTATTATGTTAGTTATCAATTAGTTCATATAATTTTCAATAAATTTAATTTATTTTTAGTATAAAATTTATATAATATAATTTTAATAAAAAAATAAATTATTAATATTTATATTTTTTTATTTATGTTGATTTTAATAAATTTATATATTTTACAATTAAAATAATTTTTATATAAAAATTAATTATTTTAAATTTATAAAAGTAAACTATAATATAATAAAATATTCTAATATAATTAATAAATAATCAAAATATATTTATTTGTGTAAAATGTATAATAAATTTTTAAGGGCATATAAGGAATAAAAAAAATTACGAAAAAAACTATTTCAAAATGCTGGGTAAGTTAGCTTTTCAGAAATTAGTTTTTTTTGTCCAAAAAGTTATTCCAAAAAGCTAATTTACCAAACACCTAAATTGGTCAAACAGCTAAAAGTTGTTCAATAAGCTAAAAGCTCTTAAAAAAAACTATTTGCAAAACACCGATGAATAATTATAAAAACAACTTTTTATAAAAACTGTTTGGATATAATAAAATTGAAAGTGATTTTAAACTGATAAAATTACCTAATAGGACATAGTAATGTAAATAGTATATTGATTATTAAAAAAATTTAATTTATTTAGAATTTAATAAATTATATTTAAAATTTTTAATTATCTAAACTAATTGAAAATATATTTATTAAATTTTATGTATAAACTATATTTGTATATTTTTATTTTTTTAATAAAAATGAAAATTAAAAATATAATTAAATTTAAATAATACTATTCTACAATTATTTAACTTTATAAATTATATTTAAAAATATTAAATTATCTACTCTATAATTAAAATTTATATTTTTAAAATATGATATTTTCAATTATAAATTTTAAATTTAATTAAAATAAAATATATAAATTAATAATTAAAATACAATTACATTTAATATTTATATAAATGAATTATTTTTATTTTTATTTTATTTTATTTTATTATTTAATTTGTTATTATTATTATTATTAAAATTATAATTTAGATAGTAAAATTGCTTCTGTTTTGTCCAGCAGCGCCCTCTTATGTGCTTCTCGAAAAAGCACTTTTGAAGCTTAAAAGCTGCTTCTGCTTTTGAGAAAAAGCTAATACAAACATAAATAAATATTTTTTTAAAAAATAAAAGCCAAAAGCACTTTACATAAACCAATCCAAACGGGACCTTAATCTCCCACTTGCCATAATATTGTCTCGTGAGCATGGAAGACTATTGTCAATTTAAGTAATTCAATACGCATGTCTAATTATAATATAAAAGATAAATTTATTTAACCAAAATATTATTATTTATATTATAATATTATCTATAATTCATATATAAAATATTTTAAACTAAAATACTAAATAAATACATTTAAAATATTTTGAACAAAAAATTAAATACTTGATTAATTTTTAAGATAAATTTTTAGAAATAGTAAAAAAAAACCTCTTATGTGTTTGCTTGGGGTTTAGATTTTAGATTAGAGATTTGAATAGTAAAAAAATTTAAATTGAAATAGTTATATGATATAAATAAGTATTGATTTAATATTTTAAATGCACAATTAACTCTTCGTATAATATAAATAAAAATAAATATTTAATTTGATATTTTTTATTTTATTTTATTTTTTTATATAAATAATATAAATTTTCCAAAATCCATCAAACAAACACGTAGTAAAAGAGTAGCTTCAATCAACCTAACATTACTAATGTTACATAAATTAAAATATAGTAGTCCCGTAGGGGTTGAATTTGTTACCGTGAGGTCATGGGTTCAAATCCCCGACGCCTCAAGTCACCTGTCACACCCAGTGCGCGATTTCTAGTACCAAATTATGTTGTCTGTCATATTCACACCACATCTGAATAAGTCAAGGAATGACTGCATTGCAAGAAAGTGAGCCATCAATACAAGTTTATACAAAAACAGCACTTGCTATCATTTTTCTCAACTAAGTAATATGCTTACAATTCTAATTGTTTAACAGAAAAGAAAATAAGCTCTTAAATGTTTGACATACCTTCATTGCACGATTGATCGGATTCGAACCAAAAGAAACTTGCCGGTTTTGCAACAGCAGGAAACTATATTGTGTCTAACCATGAATCAAAATCATCAAGAAATTTAGACTTGGAATCAGGATGAGTGGCCGAGGATGATACATCATCTTGGCCAGCTTTTGCTCCAAATGATCGACGACTTCCTCCAGTTATTTTCACATCAACTGTTTCTTTGAGAAGGGAATCAATATTGTCGTCAAAATTGGTTGGCTTTGTCGGAGGTTCTTGTGAGAAAGAAGAAACTCCTGATGATAATGCACTCGGTGACTCGAATATTTTGGTCTCAGTAAATGAGTTCAGAAGCATGTCAAGTTCTGCTTCCGAACTCGCTGCCTGAAATGTAGAAGAATTCACAGCAATAGAATCAATTTGTTTCATAGAGTTCAATATTTCTTCGGAAGTTTGAACAGGAATAGCTTTGGATGTGGTCATGTCAGATGGCGGAGGCTCATGGTACAATGGGACTTCCTCGCCAGAATCAGTTGGAACTGATGTACTAGTTTGAGGATCTTGTTTATCTTCGCCAGAACCTGGTGCGTCATCGTCCAACTGCCACATTTTAAACATCAGTCACGTCAACTCGAGAACAGAAATTCAGACAGCATAGTATTAGCAGATAACAGACCCACTTGAAATTTGAGAACATCGCTACCGATGCTGGATGTACTAGCAGAGTTTGGCTCTTAATAAACACGAGTGGCCAAAGCTTTCATCATGTCACCAGTTAAAATTAGAAATTCATTCGTAAAATGCTCCAATTGGTTGAGGAACATTTGCTCACACTTTGGCCCTCTTTATTTGTTTATTTATTTATTATTTTTATGTTAGTATTATTAGTATTTTGACAAATCTCCCGCCACAGACAGTGTTGAATGAAGGCCTCGCCTAAAGTAATAGGAATGTGCATCATATTATATTTAACTAATTTCTCCCAACAGAAGGAAAAAACGAAACAGGAATATGACCATGTGATGTGGCTACAATAACAATAGAATAAAGTGTACGTGAATCCATTGTAAAGAATCAATAGGATGTTTTTGCACTCTTAGGTCAATAAATAGAATATGAATGGAATATAAATTTTTTACTAGGTCAACCACTAGGAGATTTGAGCCACATTATGCTATCTCAAATATTCACAATCAATTATTGTGTATACAGTTCTACCTGTTGATTATATACCATAGGACTTCTAAAATGTATTTTGAGAAAAGAGATTAATCAAATGTAAATAATTTGGGTCATGTTTAATGTTTTGTGTTGATCTAGTGGTTGTTCACCGATCTTCAGTTTCCTAGTTGAGTTGTTTCCAAAATTGTTGTACTCTAAAGCAATGTGATAATCAATCCAAAAACATAGATATTCATCTAATCTAATCTAATCCAATTCAAGTTTTTTCATAGTTAACATATACATGTAGAACATAAATAAGCAAGTAAGAGCAAATGAATGTAAAACTATTATACCAGCTCTAGAGGCAATAGATCTGCCTCTATAAACAACCGCTTCGATAGGTTTGCTTTGGAAAGTTGTTCCGCGAGAGCATTCAAATTAAGGGAAAGGAACGGTGCCTGACAATAAAAGTGAAATTAAATGTATGAAAGATTGAAACAAGGTAGGAAAGGAACCAACTGATAAGGAATTGATGGAAGATAAATTGTGTAAATATAATATTTTATTGTCTCTTATGATTGGCTTAATAGAAGTAAAATAAATGAAATGGATGTAATTCAATCACTGCTAGTGGTAAATAGAATGAAGGAAGGAATTGCATATATTTCTTATCCAACCTATTTGTTATTAATACTAAAATGTAAATTGAGCAAACATCAAATAAGGTGACTAAGTGTTAGGCATTTATTTGACCTTGAAGATGATCCATCTGTGTGCTCCCCTATTTATAGGCATGTAATGACATAAAAGATGTTGCAGGTAACTTGGTTTATTTGAATCATACATTGCTTTAAGATGTAGCAGGGATTTAGTAAATAGAACGGCAAATCGGTTAAGTTGTTAAATGGTTAACTTGCATTTATTGAACTTTTGCGATATTTTTCGTCACATAGATATGATGTGTGTGCATATAAGCACATTATTCCTCATGCATATAAATCTAGAACTTAATAGTGAGTTTTACATTACTAGGCTAATTCGGCGCCACATATATTATCTTCTGAGTTTAATGAAATTAAGTACGAACTCAAAAGGATTGATTACGGTTTTATCAACAGGTCCCGTAGTTAGGCACATGTAATACCAGTTGTTAGGGGACCAATAACTTAAGATTTCGATCTTACAACAAAGTTTATCACCTGTCAACTTAAATAAGTCTGCAATGAATTAACTTTCTCAAGGCTCTTCAGTTTTGTTTCCAATTAGATTGCTATCACTAGGCTAGAATGCTAAATTTATTTATTTATTTATTTTATAAGGAACAAAACTCTAGTTTCCAACATAGTATCACTTCATCAAGTTTAGCTTTTCCATATTAATGTTCAAAAGCACTTTTTGTAACAAATGTTCAGTCAGCATCTACTGCATATTTGTTTCATTATTTTACTTAGATTTGATATGATGTGATAAGTTTGATATACTAACTACACATAACAACTTTCCCATTCCTGGAATAGGTCATACATATTCTCTAAAAATATTTCTCATTATATACGAAAATACACTCTTTTCAGCCAATCTCTAATTTGGTATCAAAGCTGAAGGAAAGATTTTTTTTTTCAGCTGCTATATTCCTTTTGCCGGAAACCTAGCCACTGACCTCTCTTCCCATTATATTTCCTAAGTTCTTGTTTTAATCATATTTTCAAAAGCAGGGTCAGTATTCCTGATTGCAAGAAGCAATTCACGGTGACTGTTCACAATACTTCTTTACCAACAATATCTGATAAGTTGGATGGGGCAGAGTACTCTGTTTGATCTAATAATATGGAAATGGATACACTGTTGTCAGAAGGAAAAAAAATATATTACAGGAAGAATGGTCTCCCTGCAGAAGACGACCTAAGCTATGCGAATGGGAGGCTGAAGATGTGTGCACATTTTATGCAATTTGGAACAACATCATGACTGATAAGTTGATAGCACATTTTATGACTGTAGCATACCTCAACATTGGAGCTTGGTTTACTTTCAAACTCAAAACCATCATCTGCGATCCATGAAAATAAATTTTTCCCCTTGGCAGCAAGCATTGGACCAAAATCCTGAGTAAAGTCTAGATAACAAATATCAACACTTGTCATATAATCTGCCAAAATTCATTACCTGCTCATTTATAAAATGATACATTCATCAAGCACACATCTAAGTGCAGCCAAATATCATGAAAGAAATTCTCTCCTCAATTCATAAACAATGACTTTTTACTTCATTTTCCTTTCAATCAATCCATAAAAGAAAATTCCTTGGTATTCTCAAATTGCTATTATGTTTAACTAAAGATAATTGTAAGAAGGATGCATATTTAACAACTAAATAAAAAGTAAATGTGCCTGTTGGGTTAACAATCATAAGTCAAAAGGATAAGATTTTGTATCATTCTCCTGAAGTCAAAGGATTCAGTCATTTGGTATTAGATATGCCATAATTCCAATATTTCAGTTTCACATTATTATTCTTATCCATTATATTCTTGCCATTTGATAAAGGCATTTTCCATAAGTTTTTATACTTTGTCCATTTGATTGTCACTGGGAGCTGTTTCATGTTGGTAAAAAGTCGTGGATTGAGTTCTAATTTTTATCATCACTAGTCACTACATAAATATACTCTATAACATCGTTATATCTTGCATAATTCATAAAAAATCATTTCTTTACATTTACAAAACTATTTTCAGAAATTTCACCCTGAAACTTAAAATTACCTTGAATCTGCAAAAGCATATTTTGTAAATACAAAAGTATAAAGTATATTATTTTTCATACTTCATACAATTCTAATCCTTTAAAAATACTATTCCCGCACCTAGAAACTCAAGCATATGGTAGTGCTCTTAACATACACATGGATATACAAATCATTATGGTATGAATATAGTTAGATGCTATCACAAAGTAGTTGCCTCAATCCCACAAGCAGAACAGCTCATAGGGTAGTTGCAAAATATATATATAAACTACTTCATAGCTACATTGGTAAAGGATATATTCATGTACTATATGGATAATCTAAAAGCCATTAAGACTCTGAATACTGACTATGAGATGCAGAGAGTATACAGAAGAGCAGTCACTTGTATTAGCCAGATTTACCAGAGGAGTCCTAACAAAATTGATTAGCCAAGAATGATTAAAGCGTAGCTGTTTCAATAAACATGATGATTAAATCCTTATTAATAGTCACCTTAACATAAACCAGTGGCACTTATAGATTTCTTGTTGTTCACAACAAACTATAGCCCTCTTCCTTAAAAAACAAGCCAAGGAAACATATATACATACTTATATAGAGAGAGAGACACACACACACACAGAGACACGGACAGAGAGAGATAGAGAGAACTTACTATAAATATTGTCATCAGAATAAAGAGAATAATCTGAAGGATAATTTGCTTGAGCCTGACCCTTGGCTTCTGAAATTAAGTGAGCATAATCCGCCCCTTTACTTTTTGGTGCAACAGCATCAGCCGGTTGGCTTGGGCTTGCATTGGGTGTGTCTTCAGAACCCAAATCAAAATCATCATTGTAACGATCCCAATTTGAAGGAAGTGATCTAGCATTGTTAGAACTTTGGGGTTTCTGCTTAGGTTGCTGTCCAGTTGGTTTTTCATCACCTGAAATGGAAGAAGGTGCTTTTGATGCTTGATGTGGGTTATGCTTCTTGCTATGATGTAATGTATGAGCTCTCTTTGATTTTGCCAATGCTTTCATATCCATCTTTATTCTACTTAACAGCCTCTGCAGGATTTCACATAATATAAAGTTTAAGATAGGGAACTTTAACCAAGTGTGTGACTTCAAATACCAAATGAGTCCCACCCAAGACAATAACATTTGAAAATAGAAATTAAACAGATAAAGTGGATACCATTTTCTTCAGATGAATGCATTTTACAACTAATAAGCACATTAGCTCTCTCCAGCATATGTTTGCTCAATTGAATAATATTTTTTTTTTTCAAACAAAAATAAAATAAAAGCATAATTAGTGTTTCACATAAATTTTTGAAGTGTGCAATGGTGTTCCCCAGGAAATGGATAACTTAACTTAGTTGCACAGCGAAGTTAAACGCATCAATAACATAGATAAAAAAAAAAATCTTTGCTAGTTTTGCAACAGAGACCTCAATCTAATTAGAAATTGTGTTGCAGAAGCAGCATAAACAATTTTGTTTGGTTAAGTATTGAGATTTGGGCAGTTACCAGAGAAGCGGAGTGGAGAAGGAATCTAAAGCGCGCGCGATCCCCCACCTTCGAGTTTCTTTTGCAGCCGGAGTGGTGGTCTTCCGGTCACCGACGAAGTAACGCGTAAGTCACGGCCAAAGAAGACAAGGCCGACGAAGCAACAGAGGAAGTTCCCGGGGAGAGACGACGATGGAGGTGCAATTTTCTTGAAGAAGACGGCCGATACATCGACCTGTATTGATTAGGGATTTTGTATTTTTTTTTTTAAAAAAGAAAATGAAAAACATTTTTTTTTTTACTTTAAATATATTATAAATTTATTTATTTGTATGTAGAAATAAATTTTCATTTAGTAAAAAAAACACAATTATAAATTGTTGTTTGCATAATTAAAATTAAAATTTAATTTAATTAATACTGGAATTACATATATTTATTTATCGAATAATTACTTATTTAAATATTTTATTTAAATGTAGTAAAAGTTAAATATAGTCCATTTAATATTAGAAGTTACTCCCAGCAATAACTTAACTTAGTTGCACAGCGAAGTTAAACGCATCAATAACATAGATAAATATTTTACTTTAAATATATTATAAATCTTTTAATAGGAGTACTATTTGTTTGCATAATTCAAATTAACATTTATTTATTTATACTATTACTTATTTATTATATTAAATATCTCATTGATTTATTTTTTATATTTTATAAATATTTAGGATTTATCTTATTATAATTTAAAATTAATTTAAGTAATTATTAATTTAATATTTTATTAAAAATATTATTTTTATTTAAAATACTAAATGAACAGACCTTATTGCTTTAAATATTTATTTTCATATTTTATTTTCTCTTTATTCCATCCAATGTTATAAAAACATAATAATACAATTTATTTAATCAATTTACTAAAATAATCTATAATCATTGGCGCTTCTTGGTATTTACTTGTTTAATTTTGATTTAAATTTTTTTATGTAAAATATAAAAAAATTTATAAGTAATATAAAAAATTAAATATTACTTTTGCAAAAAAGAATAATATATATATTTAACATCGTATTAAATTGTGGGGAAACAAACCTTTATTTTATCTCTACATTTTATGTTATTATATTTAATATTAAAAATATTTTTATATTTATATAATTTTGTATACAAAAATCATTCTATTAGTATTATAAAATACTATTAAAAATATTTTTGCAATTGTTTCTTAATTTGTTCTAGAATAGAGGTATTTCGGAAACAAACCCTTGCCTTCATTACATTTTTGTCTTTTTTATAATTATTTTATCATAATTCATTAACTAAAAATCTCAATAAAGTTAAATAAATAAATAAATGTATAATCTACTAAATATCAATTACAAAATTATAATATAAAATTTAATTTATAAATAATAAAAATTAAATTTATAAAAAATAAGATAAAAAGACAAAAATGTAATTTTAAAACAAATTAAAATGAAAATATAAATAAAAATAAAAAATAAAATAGATAAAACATACATATAATTTATAGATTAATTTATAATTAAAAGTTAAAAAAAAGAAGCTAAAAATAGCACCCTCTTATATGAAAGGGTGAAATCTGAGCATATTTGCTTGTTCAGAAAAAAATATATATATATATCAAATCAAATAATTATTTTTTATTTTTTATATTATACTACGAAATTATTTTGCATTTAAAATATCAAATCAATATTTATTTATATCATATCAAACAATTATTCAAATTCAACTTTTTACTATTAAAAAATTCAAACTTAAAAACCAAACCTACCCTCCGTCCCATATATCTATTTTTCCATTTTAGTCTATCTCATAACAAAGTATCAATTTCCTTTTTAGTAACTGTACTATCTACCTAACATTACAAATATTCTTACAATTTACAATATACTACAGAAATGTCATTATTTTTATATCACACATAATAATAATAAAGTTATTTTAGTCATTTCTACTTTATTCATACTACATCCTAATATAATACTAATATTTTTAAAACTACGTGAAAAAACAAATGAATATCTAGTTATAGGACGAATGAAGTATTAAACTTTATTAAAACCACTTACTCCCTCCGTCCGACTCCTCATTTACATTTTGCGTCATTGTACTTAATATTAAAAATATTCTTATATTTGAATAATTTTTTACGCTAATACAAGTATTTTTGTAATTTTTTCTTAATTTGTACTACATTTTCATATAATAATTAATATTCAAATATCAATACCCAAAAAGTAAATAGGACCATAAAGCCAGACAAATATAGTATTATATTATAGACTTACCAATAGTTTTAGAAGTTTTAGTATATCTTACCAACCTTAATTAATTACAAAATAGTAAGATATATAAATGTTAAATATAAAGAGGAAGGCTACTTCATTTAGTATAAAAGGCATCAAACCCCCGATGCCTCAGGTTATCTGCCACACATGGTTTGTCTGGTGTGACTTTTTCATCAGGCTTAATTTGCAGGGTATTAGATTCGGCGGGGGGTTTACCTAATGCGTACTTTCGGGTAGCGACTGCGGGTTCCACATTATAAAAAAAAATAAAAAAAAAATAATTAATTAATTAATTTAAAAAAATAAAAATAGAGAAGGTAACTTCGAATCCTTTTTAACATGGTACCTGTACTGAGTATGACAGACACTTAAACATAAATTTATTGTGAAAACAAGAACAAATATTAATATTTAGAAATTGTATGTAGACTTAAACTATATTTCTTTTGTATACTTCCAAGTTAATAATTATATAATCATATATATATATATACATTGTTTAAAGATATAATTATTCTATAAAATATTATAAAAATAAATTTAAATTCTAATCGTAAATATTTAGATATTATTTATAACTTAGAATTAGATATCATATATTTTAATACTAATATACTCGTACATAACACGGTTATATGCTAGCATAATTATATATATATTGATGGAACATTAATCATTTTGAAGTTTTGGAAATCTATAGTAAAATTAGTGTATAATAGATTTATTCAGATGACAAGTTTACAAATTTATAAATAAATTACAAATTTATCGATGGCAACATTTAACATTGAAAGCAAATCAACATAAAAATAATACATTTTGATTTTTTTCGCTATAATATACATTTTTCTTCTTGTACCATTTCTTAAATAAAGTCATAATATAGACTTATGTACAATAATATATTCCCTCCGTTCCGCGATGGATGAACTCTTTTATTAGGGATACGATTTTTTTAGGCAATGTAAATTAGTAAATTATTAATAATAAGTTATGATATTAGTTTATTATTTTTTATACGAATAATATTATTGGTATTTTAAAAAATTTTAGAATTATATCTGAAAAAATATATGCAATATGAATATCATTAATAAAATTTTATATAATATCATTACTATAAATTGGATTTATAAAAAATGAGGAGTTTTAAAGATAGATAAAAAAAAATATGTTAATTGAGGAGAGAGATAGAAATAAAATGATTTTGAATGAGTCCTACGTGTAAAATGTTAGAAGATTAATTATTTATATTTGTTAAATATGTTTAAAATTGATAAATTTACTAAAAATAAAAATAGATAATCTTTTATGAAATATAAAAAATGAAAAATGAGTCATTTGCAGTGGGACAGAGTAAGTATAAAATGATTACTGTACACATAAGACAATGCTTAAATTCTTGACATTCATCACATGTTTACATTTGCACTTCTATACATAAAAACATACACATTGTTAGTGTGTTTTATTTGTATTTTTTATTTAAACAGCAGTGGAATATATATAATATTTTATAAGAAAATCATAAAATTTGCATAATAATAAAATTGAAAAAAAAAAAAAAAATCTAAATAGGAACAAATTTTATACTCCCTCCGTCCCACATAATTTGTCCTTATTTTTTATTTTCGTCCATCTCACGTAACTTGTCCTTTCTATTTTTGAAAATATAATTTTTTACTTTAATCGTATTTTAAATTTTAAATTTTAAATTTTATAATTTTCTTAATTTTAATTAAACTATTTACTTATCTTAATCTATAATTATTTTTACTAAATAATAATTATTTTTACTAATACACTTCTTAATTACTTAATAATTATATTTTACTTAAATTCCAGTGTCTACAGTAATACACCCATATTAGATGAGACGGAGGGAGTATCTATGTTGGTATAAATAGAAAATTTATTTGCCCGATACACATTGCTATGATGATTATTTATCGTTAAATGAAATTATATCTAGTCCTCTACTTACTAAGGATGTGTGTGGGCATGGGATCCTCGGCCCCTCTTTATCCAGCCTCATCCACGTCTCGCGTACAAACTGATATATATTATATACTCTTCCGTCATTTAATAATATATCTATTTTTTTTATTTTAGTCTGTCTCATAATAAAGTATTCATCTAACATTTCAAATACATTTCAAATTTAAGATATATTACACAAATATTATTACATTTATATCATACAATACTAATAATGGTAGTTTGGTCTTTTTACCTTTAATTCTACTACATTCCAATATAATACTAATATTTCTAAAACTCCGTGCAAAAAGCAAATGGATCTATAAATATGGGACAGAGGGAGCATTACATTGTTGAGATATTTTAGATATTCGTTTTTAGATTTAGTAGATTTATATATAGATTTGATCTTATATATAGATTAGATTACTTATATTTGAGTCTATTGAATCTATTTCATATTACCTATATATAAACCCTTTATTTTTATAATCAATAATACAATTTTTCTTTTTATTATCCCTCAAATTCTAACATACATTATATACGCGTTGTGTATATAGACATAGTATGTATTAGAGGGGACGTGACGGGGTTGGGCAGGATGAGGCCGAGGATCCCATGCCGTGTGTGTGCATTCTATATATATATATATATATATATATATTACTTGATCTAAATTAGCATGCATCAGCAATTAGAATTTGCTTGATATATATAGGAATAAGGGTCTATTTTTTTTTTTTTTTCCTAAAATTTTGGTTTCTACTATTTTAACTCTGTATTTTATGAAAAAATATTTTTTCTCTTATAAAATATTTCATCGCATATTATTTTAATACCAAATTTATAAAAAAAACACACCCTATGTGATCAATTTCAATCTAAGAATTATTTGAAATATATATTGATTTTGTTGCAACTCAAAGTATATATA